CACATTTCCCGAGGTCGCCGCCCCCCAGGTGCCTTTAAATAGAGGGCTACTCCTCATTTGTTTGTCCCATTAGGGAGAGTTTAGGAGAGGTTCTAAGAGGCCAAGGTTCTCTTATTGGGTTCTTGGTGATTGTTTGTGGAGCCAAGCTTAAGGGTTTGTTCTCTGAATTTGTAGAGATTAGGGGAGAGGTCAGGGATTTGTTCCTCTGGATTCTTAATGAGTGTTTGGAAGGTTAAGGTTAGAGATTTGTTCATTGAGTTAGTGAGAGTTCATCTGTACTCTTATTTCATCTAGTGGAGGTTTCATCATTGCTTGTGGATGTAGGAGGCCGATCTCATCAGAATTACGTAAATCCTTATGTTGGTACTTTTTATGTGATTTGATCTATTTCTTATTTTCTACTTCACATCATATAGATAATGTGGGCAATCTTTCACAAATCTATATTGGGCTTTTACTATAACAATTTATTTATTTACGAATCCCGGGTTTCTCTGTGATTGTTGATTGTTTTCTCTCCTTGAGTCCAATACGTTGCTGCCCGATTGTCATCATTCTTGTCATGAGATGACATCGAACGATGTGAAGGAAAGGTGTTGAAAGGATTCCCTCTCCTTCTCTTTGTTGGCTTACCTCTCTCTCTCTCTCTCTCTCTCTATTTCTCTCTCTTTAGCTTGCTCACTCACTATTGCAGTCTTCGACGTTGTCTCAGATTATCCTATGACTTATATTCCTGTTCACATCCTAATTATGCCTTGTGGGTTTCTCTGGACATTTGTTACACACACCTAGTTTTTCTTCGCTGATTGTGGCTGTCTGGACTAGACTCGCCGCCGTGTTTCTAGTCTAAGGCCAGTGGTGTGTCCTGCTTCTCATCCTCAATATTGTTGTGCACAATGATGAATCCATTCCCTTCCCGTTGAAATTTAGACCAAACTACACGATTGAGGTGAAGACATGCCCTTTTGCTCTCCTTCTTGAAAATGTTCTTCCGATCCTTCTTGATCAGTGAGAAAGCTGGTGCATACTTTAAAATTCGGATTCTCTTTTTTGAAGCCACTCAGCTGGAGGATCAGCGACATGTCGGGGACTATGGTGGCATCTGCTATGGTGGGATCCTGATTTCATTAAACTTAATCTTCCAATAATTAATATTTCTTACATTTAATTTAGTTCTAAAGATTGTAACCATAACTCAATTACATGGCTGTACTTTTTCACCTTTTTGTGCTTAATATTTGAAAAATGTTCTACAATGGTTGGTTGCAATCATTTCCAATGGTTAATTGCCAACATCCAGAAATTACTCATAAGATAAGAGTAGAAATTCACAAAAAATAACCTGTTAATATTTAATATATCATATTACCAATAATTTTATATTGATGCACCATAGTTTGCTTATGGAAAATTATTGTTTTATTGGCATGTTTATTTTATCATCAATCAAACAAAGTGTGCTCTAAAAAATTATTATGATCAATTCAATGACATTTCTTCACTATTAGTGAAGGTTATAATTGTGTTTCAATAAATGAATAGTAGTTAAGAAAGCCTACAAATTAATTGTCTTGATGATGGTGGTTTAAGAATTTCAAGAGTTAATACATCAGCGTAGAGGACATTTAGCATTTGATAAGTGATGTAAAGTGACTAAACCTTTCCTTTAAGCCGTGGTATGCAAAGTTACCTACATATTTTTGTTAATTTTATGTATTAATCATGCTGAGGTAAAAGAAACTGATTTTCCTATACCATTAATTGTATGCATTAATCATGCTTAGGTGAAGGGCATTTTTTTCTTTTAACTCATATTACTTGAACAATATGTGATATAAAAATCAGAAAAATATTTATTCAAGCGTGTTAATGATTTGGAATTTAGATAAAGGTTTTTAATATTTAGTGAGATAATAATGTTACATCTACTAGTTTTAATGAGGCTATAAGAAGAAATAAAAAGGGGTTTAAGTGATGTTTTTTAAATTAAAATTATGCCTAGTATTATATCTAATTATGCTACTCAGAATTTTAAAGATTTTACCCACTTGTCCTCATCCACTTTCTATGAATCTTGCTCTTAGGTTCCACTCAATCACAATGGTAAAATCCTTGGAGATCGAGGCTTCAAATAGTTTCAACTAGAGTTCTAGCCAACTCAAGTGTTTCTTAGAACTATTTTTTTCACATCTAAAGCTTTAAGGGGCAAAAACATGTCAGCGACCATGCAATTTATTTTTAATTAGCTTTAGAAGGCCAAAACAGTTATCACCGAACTATTTTTTTTGACATTCATAGCTTTATTCAACAATAAATCAAGAAAAAGATAATGCTCTTAAATTTTCAGTACAGAACTTTTAGTTATGAGTCACTTAGAATACTTGAGAGGGATTCACTGATTTTGGCTCTCCACTAAATCTTCAAATTTTACTTTTAAAAAACCAATAATATTTGCAAAGAAAGTCCCTAACTACTTTACTCTCCCATAAAACACACCAACTCACTATATAGTGTAAACAAAAACAATATATAAAGTGAGTTTTAAAAATTATGAAAAGTTAGTTGAATCATATTAGAGGATTTTCAGTGCAATGAATTGTTTTCAAGGATTATGAAGATGGGTTGAATATTTTATACTGTAAGAATGCTTATTCTCAACTAGTGCTTTCACCTATTAATTTTTTATTATATTAAATATCATATAATTCTTTGATAGTGTTTTTCTTGTCTATAAAACTCATCTAACTATCAAGGTTTTATCTTGAAAGTATAAGAGAGTATATATTATAAAATCAATTCTGCAATCATGTGGGTTTATTTCAAGGGTTGAGAAAATACATTTCAACATAATTATTATATGGTAAAAATTTGAGATTTATCCTTTTACCAATTTACCCATCATATATATGTTATGAAGGCACCAAAATCCAACATGCCTCAGCTAATTTTTCACTAAGATAAATAATAATCTTGTTTTCTCTCCTTACCCTACACTCTTTAAAGTTGCACAAAATTCTAAAAGTAGTTTTTATTCACTTAGAACATGTGTTTAAGATTGAAGTTTAATGAAACTTTTTGAAGTGTGAGATGAGGACCTTGAGTTTTGATGTTTAATACATCAGATGAGTCGACAAACTAGTTTTTTTTACCATTCCAATTGTAACTTGTTAGTCTAACAATGAGCTTATGATCCATTATTATAGTGTCAACTCATGCAAGTTTTGGGAGCAATGACAAAGGTTCAATGTGCCATAGCACAAAGCCAAGCCAAAATAGCCTTATTTAAATCATTTTTGCATGAATTTGATGATTGTACTGTGGATTAGGTAATTAGTGCAATTGGTTTTTCTATTCAGTTATTTTTTGTTCCTCGTATGAAAGTGAGTCGAACCACTTTCTTTTTTTTATACTACAAACAAAAAATGTGTCAAATCATTCAAATATTTTGTGAGGCTTTTCTGGGGTTTACTAGATAACTTATGAATACTTTTGAGTGGTAATGAAAGTAACAAAGTAATATAAAATGACCTTGGTTACCAATCTATAATAACTTTAAAAAAAAAATTTGAAATCACATTGGGCTCCCAACTCAAAAAACAGGAGTTTTTTTTTCTGTTTGACAGAATGTACTGATCATCATAAATGTTATTCTGAGGTGCTCTTGGTATATTGTTTTGAATCAATTAATATTAATATCTACTAAATAAAATTGCCATGGAGGTAGCTGTATGATTGAATCTTTTATTTCTTGATCTATCATATTCTAGAATAGTTATCTGATCAAACAGTATTCTCATGTGAAGCTGTGGTCAATAACATATCGATCTTATGAGATGTTTCAATTGCTTCCTGAACATGATAGATTTGATCTATGCAATCATCCTTTTTGGCCATGGCTTGTGTTGCTTGACCTTTTGGGTGAACCAATTTTCTGAACAATATAAGAGCCACCCTGCATGTCCTTATAAAGACCTCTGCGGCCTTCCCTCCGCTCTGGGGGGAGTCTCTCTGCCTTCAAAGCAGTGCCATGCACACACAACCACCGTGGCAGCGCCAGTCGCCTGCCTCTCTTAGAGCTTTTATATATATATTATTATTTTTTCTGGAGGAGTTCTGGGTGATCCCACTGGTCTCGGAGAGGATCCGATGGACGAGGGAGGAAAGGGGGTGTCTACGGAAGGAGGGACATGGTTCCATCTTCCTCCTCCGTCCAATCTGGTCAGCCACCCTAAACTCCCTGGGGAAAAAAAGGAAAATTATCAAAGCTGTTGGTCGAGGAGCTCTCTTGCGTGCTCCTCTGAAAATCTTTTGCACCATTGGCTTTGAGGGTCCGTACGCCTAGGCTGAGGGCAAAATATCTCGTTCAGTGACCTTCACTTTCCACGGATGCCATTAGTTTACCTGCCAGTCACGCATGCCCACACCGACCTTCATCGCTCTTTGACCACCATTGTCATCATGGACAAATGGATAACTCCATCAAATAATGGATAAATGGAGTCACTTCATCGCTGAATTGTGTTTTCTTTTTGTCCATGAAATATGCGACGGCTGTTTTCTTCTTGTCGTTGTTCTAGCGTCTCCCTTATTTTCGTTCTTTGTCCGGTTTAGACAAACAGAATCTCGGCGAACCTTGTTGCTTGAGGGGAGATATTCTTTCCTTCATGTTGCAGTGGCTCTTTTTATTATAATAAATTTCATCACCAGGAAGATGGTTCCCTAGTCGAGTGCAGACAGATTGGTTAGGATATGATGAGACGGTAAAATATTCGAAGAAGTTTTTTTGCCGTGATCTACTGGAGCATTAGGCTTCGGAGAAGTAGACATGCCATCATGAAGCACATCCTCCGTTCAACCTGAATTTCTTTGGAAGAATTTAGGCATACAAAGTAGACGTCATCTCATTTGAATGGCGCATATATCCTCCCTAACTTTGCACTATGAAGATTTTGTTTTTAGTTTACTTTGTTTTCTTCGTAATATGCTTTATTGCTCGGGTGATGGCCCTCGATTATCACAAATTCATGCACTTTTTATCCTTGGATCAAGATTTTATCTTCATCTTAGAAAGTGCCACACACTTTTCAGCTACCAACTTTTACTTTGAAATATTACAGGGAAATTCTGCTAATATTGCTGTGGGATCCCATGTTTGGGTTGAAGACCCAACTTTAGCTTGGATAGATGGTCAAGTTACACTGATTAATGGTGAAGAGGCTGAAATTCATACAAGCAATGGGAAGAAGGTACATTTTCAATTTTTGGTCATGGTTCTTATAATCACCAGTCTTCATCATCTGTTCTTTCTTAGGGATCTCTCACTTTTTCCCATTATCATATACCTTATTCAGAATGTATATCCTGTCTGAATATGTTACCCGAAAGGCACCCTCTAATTTTTTATTCACTAGTGTGGTCATTTCTTATCTCCATTAAAGATTTTTGATACGAGATGTTCTCTCACTTTAGAAATTGGTGGATACAATTAATGTCTATAGCGCTCTCTATTATAGTCCTTTATGCCACGTTGTCTAACATATTTTAGCAAACTCCAACATATTGAAGGAGAGAGAGGCTGACACGAAAATAACGATATGTAGGAAAACGTTTGATATGATGATGGTTTGCATGCTAGGGTTTACCAGAGTATTAATTAACGGAAACAACTTGAGGGATCGCATGTTGTAGATAAAACATGAAATTTGTTACCCCCACGAATGATGTTGAATTAAATCCCTTCACTTCCTTGTCATTGCTGTGTTCTGATGAGTGTCATCGTATCTATCACTAATCTACAGATGAGTAGTTGATGCTTTCAGGTTTGTACAATGTCAAATAGGAACAACTATTTTTGACGCCTTAATCATGAACTAGAATCATTCAGTTCTCGCATTGTGGCTTATGTTTTCCCGCCCTTGGTGAATGCTCTTTTTTTTCATTAGACATGTATGATCAGTTTACATTTGTAGAAGCTGTTCTTACTTTCAATGATGATAGTGATATTGCTTGAGAGTTTAGCACATGAAAAGGAGATTCCTATCATATCTACTTATTACCATTGTTGTTTATATTATATTTAAATTATTTTTTTCACCATATCAGTGACAGTATTTTCGATATTCTAGGTTATTTTACATTTATCAAAAGTATTCCCGAAGGATATGGAAGCTCCACCTGGTGGAGTCGATGACATGACAAAGCTTTCATATTTGCATGAACCTGGCGTTTTGCAGAATTTGTCAACAAGATATGAACTCAACGAAATTTATGTAGGCTATTTTATCTTCCCTTTTGTTTTATTTATTTACAACTTTCGAAAAATGCTTGCTGTGTTGAATCTTTAGTTGATTTTAATTCTATTAACATTGCTACTCCTAAATTTGTGACAGACTTATACAGGAAACATTCTTATTGCTGTAAATCCATTTCAAAGATTGCCTCATCTCTATGATTCTCACATGATGGCACAATATAAAGGAGCATGTCTTGGGGAGCTTAGCCCTCATGTTTTTGCTGTCGCAGATGTTGCTTACAGGTGATGATCCTGCTTTTCCTCTTGGTTTAATTGCATAAAGTACATTCATTCTGAATGGAAATGTTAAAGCACCAATGCAGTTGAATGCACACATTTCTATTCAAAACTTTGAAGATGTCCCCCTATCATAACTAGCATGTTGAGAATAAAAGTCGCATCGATTAGAGTTTGAATTTTTTTTCCAAATGGAATGGTTCTCATTGTCATTCAATTGACCCTTCCTGATTTGGTTTCAAGGAGATCTATTGTCCTCCTTTAAAATTGGGAAAATATTATTGAGGATTGCCTGATCCCACTTGTCTGAAGGCCGGGCTATACTGTGGGAATGAATGTTGGTCAGGGATATATAACAATGAGGAAATGAAAAAGAGATGAAGAACAGGAAAGATGCAGAGGAAGAAGAAAGAAGAGAAGCATGTCTCTGTCTCCCGCCTTGCTGTCTCATTTTCTTTCTCCACCTCTGACTCCACTGCTCTATTGATTATTTTTTCTTCCTTTTGCGTTTGCAAAGCTTGTCTGGTAGAAAAGATATAGGATTCTTATAAAGGATTTTTCTGCATAAAATTTTAAATCGCATATTTTCCTACCTTTTACTAACAAAATTACCAATGTTTTATAAAAATAAGTTTTTTTTCTCCTGTTAATGTTTTTGCTAATGTGGTGCTGTTTTTTAGGGCTGATCTCAGTGTATGTGAGTACCTCATTGTGTCCTGTTGTCGTTTGATGAATGTTTTTTTTTTTTGCGAACATACCTAATTTTGGGGTATTATTTTCTTCCCTTTTATCCCTTCGTTGCTAACTAATTTAGTTATACTTTAATGTCATTCAATGACACATCTGTCTGCCTTTCGTGTAGTATTTTGCCGTTGATGTCCTGAGAAGAGAATCTATCTGATGATCCCGTTTTCTATTGTTGCATGCTCTATATTCTTTATGAGCATCAGATTTATAGTATTTTTCGCTGTCTCAGGGCAATGATCAATGAGGGGAAAAGCAATTCAATCCTTGTAAGTGGTGAAAGTGGTGCCGGTAAAACTGAAACTACAAAGATGCTCATGCGTTATCTTGCCTACTTGGGTGGGCGAGTGGCAACAGAAGGACGGACGGTAGAACAACAAGTTCTGGAAGTAATATGCTTGTTTTGACTTTTGGGATTCAGTTCTTCTCAGTGATGCCCTTTTATCTCTTTAGAAATTCTATGTTCTTCATGCTTAACAGCTGTCTCAAGTGAATGATGTTTCTATTTTTTTCTGTGGTTAAATTTTGGGCATAAACTAGGGAATACTTTTTCGAAACGAGCTGGAGTTTCATGCAAAGTTTCTCTTATTCTCGTTTGCAGTCCAATCCTGTTCTTGAGGCTTTTGGCAATGCAAAGACTGTGAGAAATAACAACTCGAGGTAACTTTTGCGTTGTCTGATGGAGTGGTATTAAGTATTCAACCTTTTTCGTCTTTATGGTTTGAGTATCCTTTGTGAGCTACACAATTAATGAATCATATCAGGGATTTTTCCTGATTTTCAATCATAAAATGAACTCGTTTTGAAGACTTAGCCATTTACATTAATAATTATATTCCTCATGCAGCCGCTTTGGGAAGTTTGTTGAGATTCAATTCGATAAACATGGGAGAATTTCAGGAGCTGCTATTAGAACATACCTTCTAGAGCGTTCCCGTGTTTGCCAGATTTCTGACCCTGAGCGTAACTACCATTGTTTTTACCTTCTTTGTGCTGCACCACAGGAGGTATTTGTCTAATTGAACAATTTCGCTATTGACCTTAGTATTTCATAGGTTTAGACAGTAGTTTCGATAGTAGTCTGAAGGTTCTTCATAAATTGATTAATGATTTCATCAGGAGATCGATAAGTATAAGCTGGGAAGTCCTAGTTCATTTCACTATCTGAACCAATCGAATTGCTATGAGCTAGTTGGTGTGAATGATGCTCATGAATATCTTTCCACTAGAAGGGCGATGGACATTGTTGGGATCAGTGCCCAAGAACAGGTAATTTGAAATATTTTTCAATGTTTTTCAATGTACTTGCAACTTATAGACACTGGAAGATGAACTTTGTGGTCCCTGATTATTCTTTCAGGATGCAATTTTTCGAGTAGTTGCTGCAATTCTTCATCTTGGAAACATTGATTTCACCAAAGGGAAGGAAATCGATTCCTCCATCCCAAAAGATGAAAAATCTACGTTCCATCTCCAAATGACAGCTGAACTTCTCATGTACCTCTTGATCACTCATTACTTTGGAATTATAAACGATATTTTATATAATTGTGTTAATTTATTTTTAGGCTTTATTTTCTATTAGGTGTGAACCAAAGGCCTTGGAAGATGCCCTATGCAAACGTGTGATGGTAACTCCAGAAGAAGTTATTCAGAGGACTCTGGATCCTCTGAGTGCAGTTGTTAGTAGGGATGGTTTGGCAAAAACTATCTACTCCCGTCTATTTGATTGGTGAGATGATATTATAATAATTATTTTACCTGGGAGTCTCTTATGACTGTATTTTTGGTGAGGGTTTGCTCCAATTCCGAGAGAAAATTAATTTGGAAACAAAGGCACATGACCGTTAAATCTGCAGGATTGTTGATAAAATTAATGTGTCAATTGGACAAGATCCAACATCTAGGTCGTTGATTGGTGTCCTTGATATATACGGATTTGAAAGTTTCAAGCATAACAGGTAATACTTCATCTGAGAAAATTTACTTCCCTGTCCAAGCTTTTTCTTATGCTGTCCATATTTGATAACGTTTTAATGCATGCTCTCTACTCTAAAAAGTTTTGAGCAGTTCTGTATTAATTATACAAATGAGAAGTTGCAACAACATTTTAATCAGGTATTTTTCGTCGTCCTAGAAGAAATTTAAGCTTGATTTCTTCCCTTTCAGTAGTAGTAATAAGACATTATTTCAATTGATTTTCTGTGCTTCAGCATGTTTTCAAGATGGAACAAGAGGAGTACACGAAAGAAGCAATTGACTGGAGCTACATTGAATTTGTTGATAATCAGGATGTCTTGGATCTCATTGAGAAGGTGTTTGCTCTTTTATTCATGTCCCATGATTAAAGGTCAAGAGATGACTCTTATCTTACGTCCAGCATTTCTAGCATGTAATTTAAAATGCTCGTTACTATTGTTTTCTGGAGAACCACTTTTGTTCTAAAGGGAAACATGAACCGGCCATTAGATATGATTTTTGCAGTATGTGCTACATAGTGTTCTGTCAATTACTAGGAGATCGAGTGAGCTACTAGGAGAAACGTTTAGTCTTTGTGAATTTTAAGCTGTTCAAATTCTGAACATATTCTATCAATGGATAATGGTTCATAACATATGTTTTACATAGTGTACACAAATGAAAACTCCTGAATGAAAATTTTCGGATGGATAATCATAACGTTGAGAAGGGTGTTATGGCAACATCCTCTGTTTGTGAAGAACATACTTTTGAAAGCTATTGATTGGCGAAGCCATTTGGTGATCTCCTTAGGCTTCACCAGACTGCTTTCGAGGGGGAGCCAATAGCATTCCAAGGATGGAGCGGAAATGGTCTGTGTTATCTTTGAAAGTCAATGAATTATTTGGACTTCAACCGATCGTCAGTTCAAAATGGTCCCTCTAATCTTCTTCTCTTCCCATTCAATCACTGTTGTTCCTCGTAATGGGCTTTTCTGAATTCTACACAACAGATGTTGAATTCATAATCATTAATCAGGGAAAGATTCGTTTTCAGTTAGCCATGTCGTATCAGAATATTGTTGGTCGACATTAGCTAAATGAATTAAAGTAGCCATCCCATCAGTGAATAAAACAGAGCTACCAGTAGATAGATCTTTCCTCATTTATGGTTGACCAATAAGTCGTAGGCCATCAATCTTCGAATGTGCTTGGAGAAAGTTGAATCTCAGAGATAACTTTAACCTGAACTATTTTTCTTTCCTTTGCAGAAACCTGGCGGAATTATTGCTCTTCTTGATGAAGCATGGTATGACAAAATGGCTTTTGGAAAATAGATCGTTTGAGTGATTTTGGAAATGGAAGTTTGGAGTTTTAGAAAATTACAGTTCGGATTTCTAGATTGTAGCTGTTTTACTGGCTTTTATCTTCTCTAATTTCAGTATGTTTCCAAAGTCAACACATGAAACCTTTTCTCAGAAGCTTTATCAGATCTTCAAAGCGCACAAACGTTTCATCAAACCAAAGCTATCAAGGACTGATTTTACAATTGCCCATTATGCCGGAGAGGTAAGCTTTAATACAGGAGTAATTTCCAGATGATAGCCAAAAGGAAGTCTTTGAGTGTTCATGTTTTCCTCTTTGTCAGGTTGTGTATCAATCAGATCAGTTTCTTGACAAGAATAAAGACTACATTGTGCCAGAACACCAAGATCTTTTAAGTGCTTCAAAATGTGCTTTTGTCTCGGGCCTTTTCCCTCCTTTACGAGAAGAAGCAAGCAAGTCCTCCAAGTTTTCTTCCATTGGTTCACGTTTTAAGGTATTTAATACTTATTTCAGACATTCACTTCGTATCCTATATATCCAGAAGTACGTTCCTTTGCTTATCTTCTCGTTTGTCCATCTCTTATGCAGCTACAACTACAGACTCTGATGGAGACATTGAACTCGACAGAGCCTCATTACATTAGATGTGTGAAACCCAACAATCTTTTGAAGCCTTCCATATTTGAAAATGTGAACATCATGCAACAACTGCGCTGTGGTGTGAGTACATTATTCAACGTTATTCTGATTTTCTCCTCACTTCTTTGATATGGTGTGCTTATATATTTGAAAACTTGTCTATCGAATCTTATCAAATGTGAAAATCATTTAAAATTTATATAGTACTTCTAGCTTCTTTCTAATGCTTCGTCTTAGCCTAAGAACGTACAATCAAAATGAGTCCATTTTCAACTCTGTCCTATACAATATGTTCCCCCCATCCATAATAAAGGATAATTGACACGTCAAACGTCATTTTGGCCTGTCGGCAGAAAAATAAAATAATTAAAGTTGAATTTACCTTCTTTGTGTGACATAGTTTCCTGCCAAGCTAACACTAAAGCGAACATCCTGTAATCTTTTTGTATTAGCGACATCTGAAATTCCATTAGAGCATACTGATGATGCATTAAAGGATGAAATTGGATTTTTTGTATGCATGAATAGTGAAATCATGTATGAAGGAATTATGCCTAGAAAGAGGAAATAAATTGAATGACAAAGGCAAACAAGTAAGAACAAAATGTGTCACATAATACTTTCTAATGTTTCCTGGAGCTCTGATATTTCTGTAGCTCCACTTTCATTTTTTATATTGACCTTACTCTCTTTACATCTCAAATTTCTTCTTAGGGTGTTTTGGAGGCCATAAGAATTAGCTGTGCTGGATATCCAACACGCCGTACCTTTTATGAGTTTTTGCATCGCTTTGGCATTCTTGCTGCGGATGTTCTGGAAGGGAAGTAAGTATAATGGACAAATATTATTATTCAACTTAATTATCCACCAAGTTATTGTATTATCGTACCTGTTACCTTCTGGGAATTTCTTAGTCAATTATATAAGAAATTTTTGTCCCACTGATATGATCTCCTGTGGCAGCTGCGATGAAAAGGTTGCATGTGAGAAGCTTTTACAAAAGAAGGGCTTGAAAGGATTTCAGGTGACTCTTTAACATATTTAATGGCTGATGCAATATTATACCTGTTAGTCAACTCCACTTGGATTGACATGAAGCATTTCTTAATATTTTGGTTCTTGCTAATTATTATCATGCTAATAGCAATTCGTGTCACCTTATTCGTAGATAGGCAAAACTAAGGTCTTTCTAAGAGCCGGTCAGATGGCTGAGTTGGATGCTCGAAGGGCAGAAGTCCTTAGTAATGCAGCAAAAGCTATTCAACGCAAAATCCGAACACATGTTGCTCGGAAACAGTTCATTGCATTGCGGAAAGCATGTGTCTTGGTGCAGTCATTATGGAGAGGTTAGTTCATCCGTTGTGTGAATGGAATTTTCATGCTAATGTCATTATATGCCTCAAAAAGCAATATTTTGCATCCCTAATAATTTGGTTTCAGGAAAATTGGCTTGTAAGCTTTATCAAAGCATGAGGAGGGATGCTGCTTCAATAAAAATTCAGAAGAATTTGCGAAGATATGAGGCTAAGAAAGCATATAAACAACTGAGGGTATCGGCCCTGATCCTGCAAATAGGTTTGAGGGCGATGTCTGCCCATAAAAATTTCAGATTTAGAAAGGAAACAAAAGCAGCGACCGCTATACAGGTATATCTTTTCGTCGTGCTGCATCTCTTAAGTTACAAGCGCCTTGGGCACAAAGTTGACGGTACATGCAGGCTAAATGGCGTTGTCACAGAGCTTCCTCGGAGTATAAGAAGCTGAAACTGGCATCTATTGTTTCTCAAACTCATTGGAGGGGAAGAATCGCAAGAAAAGAACTAAGGAAGCTGAAACTGGTTAGTAATAAAGGGAGTGACCTTGTATTAAGTATTATGAAAATTTTGTGTATGGGTAATTGGATGGCAGTTTCACACAGACTTATAAATATTGAATTCGATCTGGAGATTGTGTCAATAATGTAGATATTAATTAGCACTTTTATAGTTGCTCACTTTTATGATCTAGATATTGGTTTGCTCATGTCAATAGAGTTGTTATCAACATGAGAGGCCAGTTTTACCAGGAGGAAATCAACGGCACCATCACACTGCGTGACGAGTCCAAATGGTTATTGAATTCTTTATTAAAGTACGCTAACATAGGTTCATGCTATTGGACTCATCGGAAATGGGTTTTGGTGATCAAATATCTACTTTCAGTTGGTACATGTGTAAGAATAATCATTCCTGAATTGTAAAAAGGAAAAATTGACGCAAATTAAAAGGGAAAAGTGATACAAGTTAATCAGTTTCTAGCAAGTGTATAAATATTTGTTCTTTCCCTTCTTTAAATGCTAGAATCAGTAAAAATAAGTAGAAGTTATTCTGAACGGAATATAGTCGTAACTTCCTATTTTGGGGGTTGTTGGGGTTTTTTATGAAGCAGTTAGCTCATTATTCAGTTAATCTAGAGACTTTAGCTTGATCCTTGAGAAATCATCGAACATCTCTTTATCCGTTTGAACTTGAAGGTCATGTTTCTCCGCTTAGGCGTGTTGAACTTTTAGTAAGACTCTTGCAAAATTGGAAAGAACCTTTGGAAATGGAAAAAAATATTCTGCACAAATGTTGCTCATGCCTGCTTTTCGGTTCCTTCTTCCATAATCCAAGCTCGACGATGGAATCAAAATTCCTCCATTAATAGGCTCAGGATTCCCCTTCGCTCGTTATGGATTGGTAACAAGATAATCTTTTTTTTAATTTCCTCATCTAATTACTAATAGTTTATAGCTAGTCAGTAGGTTACTTCTTAGGGATGCACGCATCTTTGGTTTCACGACCATGGCTTATTGTGTGCATGCCAACTTAACATTTTAAAGTTCATGAGTTTTTTTTCTCTCAGGCTGCTAGAGAAACAGGTGCACTGAAAGAAGCAAAGGACAAACTTGAAAAGAAGGTGGAAGAACTCACCTGGCGTTTGCAATTGGAGAAACGATTAAGGGTATTCCGTTACACAATATCTTGATGTTAAATCTTTATCAGTTTTCTCTTAATCGTAGGGAATCTGTAAATACTGATTTTTGGCGTGTATTACTGTAGACTGACTTAGAGGAAGCAAAAGGACAAGAGGTGGCGAAGTTGCAACACTCTCTGCAAAATATGCAAATCAAAGTCAATGAGGCAAATGCGATGTTGGCCAAGGAACGAGAAGCTGCACAAAATGCTATCAATAATGCCCCCCAAATTGTGAAAGAAACACAAATTTTGGTGGAGGACACCAAAAGGGTGGAAAGTTTGCAAAGAGATGTGGAGCAGTTGAAGGTGATTTTTCGAAACATCCTTGAGACCAAGTACTGTGCGTTATATCATTATTCACTTATTTAATTTTTATTTTTTCGTTTATTGGGGATAATATTTTGGTGTTTAGTAAAGCTTATTCTTCATGGGATGGCATTGCTGAACCATGGAAACTAAAAATTTGTAACTCCTAAATTGTGTGTAATTGAAAGGAGCCCAAGACGATAACGAGGTACGTATGGTGGGTACCACATCCATCATTCCCTCGCTAGAATAAGTTCAATTACCACTTTTCTTCTTGAGTTGAGCGCTTTTGCTAGGCAGCAATGAGGTTCCCTAATGAGGTTGCATGCCAGGTGAGATACATTTCATAAAGTCGATCATTTACATCCTAAAGGGACTCAGAATTTCATCTCTGATGAAACATTAAAGGTTAACCAATATGTGAGAGAGAAAGATGGGGAACTAAGTATAACTACTGCGTTGTTATTATTTTTCCTGTATGAATGTATGGAATTAGATGTCTCAGTCGTTAAATGTCGTTAACCTGTTTGGGATGTTTACAGGTCTCACTGCAGAATGAAAAACAAAGAGCGGATGATTCTGATAAGACGCTGACTAAAGCTCAAAATGGAATCATAGAAAGAGAAGCCAAGATTGAACAAATAGAAAGAAAAGCCATTGGTCTTCAGGAGTCATTGAACAGGTAATATTTGCTTGTTAGTGATTTACGAAGCTTTTAACTTGTTTTGACAGCAGGCACTTGTTTTTTTAGCTGTTAACAACCGAAGTGCATGACGTTTCATTTAGGCACACCATCCTAGGGATGATTTGCATTCAACTATGACTGTGCTCGTAGTGTTGAAATTTCTGATCGACTGATAATGAGATGCCTAGAAAGAGTTTTCCTCAAATGAGAGAAAATTTTGGTGGCAACCTTACTACTTTCGTTGTTCTCTCAAATTTTTTCATTCTTGGATTCCTTCAACAAATATCGTGAAATTAATGATCTGATTTTGCCTGGTGAGGAAAATGGCATTCATTCTTTATCAACATTCTTAGTTTCCGGTGATTATCCATGTTTTTTCGGCATAAATTTTGATTACTAAATCCAGATATCAGATCATTTTCAATATGGTCTTCTACTTACGGGACTGTAAACTCCCATCATGTTGATGGTTTATTTTCCATCTATATCTGGAATATAATTTGTTAATTTATTAGAATTTTAGGGAAGAATCCATCATCATGTCGTTGTTTGACATTGTGAGTGAATTGGTTGATCCTGAGGAATGATAAAAGTTTAGATGTTATAAGATAGGATCAATATTTTATCTGAATAATCTCTTGATTACCTCTCTTTCTTAGAGATTACTAATATAATCTCTTGTTTTCTAACCAGACTAGAAGAGAAACTTGCAAACCTGGAATCGGAAAATAAAGTCTTCCGCCAGCAAGCTGTGTCTATGGCTCCCAATAAGTTTCTTTCTGGACGTTCTAGATCAATACTTCAGGTGCTTAGACCACGCCAGCGGATGTCGGTCAGAATTTTTGAACTTGTAATCGTGATGATGTTCCTTTGTTGCTTGGCAGCGGAATGTGGAGAATGGTCACATTGTAAATACCGATGCAAAGGCAACTCCGGTTAGTCAACACTGGGCTTTATGACTTGCAGACAAAAGTGATATGATTATTGTTGTGTTCTGGAAGCATCTGAAAAATGTAAGTTTTAGGACTCGCATGGAATTGGATCCACCCCGAAGGAACCTCCTGAGGCGGAGGACAGACCACAGAGATCACTCAATGAGAAACAACAGGTAAAACATAGCCTCCTATTTGGTTGTGAAGTTTCTCTGTTCCTTCATCATTATGTTTATTATATGTACTGAGGTGTAGTATCTTTCAAATTCTATTGGTACCCAGGAGAATCAAGACCTGTTGATCAGATGTATTGCACAACATTTAGGCTTCTCACAGGGAAGACCAATCGCTGCCTGTATCATTTATAAATGCCTTCTTCAATGGAGATCCTTTGAAGTCGAGAGAACTAGTGTTTTTGATCGTATTATTCAGGCGATAGGCCATGCAATTGAGGTTTGTATCTCAGGATCTACCTTTTCATTCTCTTTTGGAAACCATAAGGCTCCTTTTAATTTCCACTTATTGCACTGAAGACTCAGGAGAACAATGATATCTTAGCGTACTGGCTGTCAAATGCTGCTACTTTGCTCTTGCTGCTGCAACATACCCTGAAAGCAAGTGGTGCTGCAGGAATGGCTCCACAACGCCGTCGATCATCATCAGTGACTCTGTTTGGGAGAATGACTCAAGTTAGAATTCATTGCGATTGTATACTAGTTTGTGCCCACATTTGTAATTCTTCGTGATGGCTGCTGCATCTTTAGATCACTTAACACTCTTTTATTCACTTTGGACTTAGAGTTTTAGGGGAGTATCTCCGGATGTGAACCTTTCTTTCTTAAATGGGACCTTGGCTGGTGGAGTGGATATACGCCAAGTGGAAGCCAAGTATCCTGCTCTGTTGTTCAAGCAGCAACTTACTGCTTATGTGGAGAAAATATATGGAATGATCCGGGACAATCTGAAGAAAGAGATTTCTCCTTTACTTGGCCTGTGTATTCAGGTAATCAAGAAATTCTGAAATGCACCTGTGTTTTATTCTTTTGCCTAGCTAAGAGGGCAGTTTCCTCGCATCTCTTGCACCTGTGGTCTTCTTAGCATCATTTTCTTGACTTGGCAAGAGGTTTGTTGGTGAAGGCATTAACGTTTATCGAACGGACAGGCACCAAGAACATCACGGGCAAGTTTAGTAAAAGGTTCTGTTCGCTCACTTGCAAATGTGACGACTCAGCAAGCTTTGATCGCTCACTGGCAAGGGATTGTGAGGAGTCTTTCAAGTTTTCTGGAAACACTCAAGTGTAACCATGTCAGTAGTCTCTCCTCTTATCTTTGCATAGCTATTTATGCGAAGAAAGTGAATATAATAAATAATTTCTTCATGCCGTGATCTTTCAAATTTATAAACTTGAGCTTGGAAGCCGTATCTGATGGTTTTCATTTATCTTCATGCCAGGTTCCTCCCTTTTTAGTTAGAAAAGTGTTCACACAGATATTTTCATTTATCAATGTGCAACTATTCAATAGGTACATCTTTCCTACAACAGTTTTAACATGAGAGCTAGCTGTGTTCAAGCAGTCACTCTGATGCTCCTCTTTCCTTGACAACTATAGCTTATTGCTAAGGCGAGAATGCTGCTCCTTCAGCAATGGCGAATATGTCAAAGCAGGGCTAGCAGAATTAGAGCATTGGTGCTACAAAGCGACTGATGAGGTACCTGGTTGATAAGATTGCTGAATATGAATCTATCTGATGACAATTAAAACACGTGGATGGGGCTTTGATTCTATCTATATGAATCTATGAATACGATTTTTTTCAAGTTTGAATAGCTAAATGAGAGTTACCATTATGAAAGATTGGAAAGTGTGAATGATACAAAATCTAGATACTTATCGTAGCATATTAGTGGTATGTTAGGAATCTATGAATTGCTGGATTTACTTTTTTAACAAATTTTCTTGTCTCCTGAGCCAAGTGCAAAATTGCAGTATGCAGGTTCTGCATGGGATGAGCTGAGGCATATCAGGCAGGCTATTGGTTTTCTGGTAATCACTACCGCGGCTCTATTCTGTACTTGAAATACACTCTTTGACTTAACTGGGATAGATGGTAACCATCATAGTGGGCAGCGAATTTTATTGGATTGTTGTCACCGGATCATGTGATAGGACAGAACGATGGGGACTCGAGACACAGGCGACTCTCCCTGACAACATGGGTTACTGCTGGGTAGGAAAGTTACAGGGGATGTTTGTCCTCCGATTTTCTTTACCATTTTTCCTTACCTGGTGCCAGGTTTCCCAAGGCATCGTTGAGATACGGAGACATTTGGAACTATGTTTTTCTTGAATGCTGAAAAAATTAGGATCTGCCCGGTCGAATCGTTGTTTCTGTGAGCACGGATTTGCACATTTCTGCTTCTGAACCTCCGTAAAACCTGTTGCCTTACTAGGTCATCCACCAAAAGCCAAAGAAGACGCTGGATGAAATAAGTCACGACCTTTGCCCCGTGAGCGGACTCCTCCTTCTCCTCTCATTGCTTCCGTGGGTTCTCTTCGCCTGAGCCAGCCCTTGCACCCTAACTACGCCCCGGTGGTCTGCAGGTCCTCAGCATACAGCAGCTGTACCGGATCAGCACAATGTACTGGGACGACAAGTACGGAACCCAGAGCGTCTCCTCAGATGTAAGACGAGTCGGACCCGCCTCTTCATTTACACAAGGGTGTTTGCTGGTCTTCACGACTCCCTGACTTTGCTTAGACGTTCCCTCGTCCATGGCACCCCTCCTATTCTCCAGGTTATATCCAACATGAGGATTCTGATGACCGAGGACTCGAACAATGCCGTCAGCAACTCTTTCTTACTGGACGACGATTCCAGGTAAGACCCTTTTAGTTTTTCTTTTTGACATAACATATTAGCTCACTGGTTCGTTCCTCCTCCCCTGCCTGCAGCATACCGTTTTCCGTGGACGATTTTTCCAAGTCCATAGAACAGGTTGATATCTCAGACGTAGAACCACCGCCTCTGATCCGTGAGAACTCGGGCTTCGTGTTCTTGTTGCCTCACTCTGACTGAGCTTAATCCTTGTCAACGGTATGCCTTGTACAAAGATTTGCCAGAAATTTGCGTTCGGAATGTTTTGGAGAAGTCAAGGTACAAAAAATTAAGGGGAAGGAGAGGCAAATAAACCGTGATTTCCTGATACGTCTAAATAATTTTTTGATTTCTAACATCCGTTGAGAATAATATATATTTGACCTACGCTGTCTTCAAATTATCTCTTCTATAGTAGTGTAACCTAGTAGTCTTAGGATTCTAGCAGTAATAAGAGAATAATACTTTGATCTTCTTCTGCCATTTTAACCTTAAATCTACTAAAATTTGAGATCGACTTACTGAATGTATTTATATGCTCTAACAAATTTCTTCTACTATAGAATCGTAGTTATATAAATGATTGAAAATTTAATTTTTGGTAAGATATTTTGACAATAGTAATGTTTCTTCCTTAAATCAATAGTATGACAATGTTATCTATTACCTTATCAGCTAAATATAAATGAATTTTACTCACCTTCAAAATCTAACTCATTATAAATATATTTCATCATTTATTTTTTCTACCTTTTCCTTTTCATAAAAAGCTTTATGAATTTTTTGTTGATTGGCTTCACTATACTTTTGTTGACGTAATTACAATATTAAATTTGGCAAGGCAATAATAACTTATCTTTGATACCAAATGTTATGTAAATAAAGTCAAATTGATACAAATACAATAATGGAAGAAATTGTTAGGGTGACGAACAAGCATCTCCTTCTTAGACAATTGAATACTAACCAAAAAGAAAGAAGTGACAGTGGGGAAGAAAAGAAGACAATAGATGCGCGGCTTGAAGAATTGTTCTATGTCCATGGTGGCATAGGGTTCTCCTATCCACTCTTCCTAGGAGAGCATCATCTTACCACATAATGCAACTTTTGACGTGGTAGCACAATGCAGAAAGCAACACAATGCCTAGTACTCAGCAAACACAAACAATACTATGCTCAGCATTCACACTTACTAATTAGAATCCTCTTATATGATGAAGTTTTGGAGACACATGAGGCCAAAGGACAATCATACCCTTGAAACAATATATTTAAGCAAAAATGAACCTTACAATATCAATACCAATTTATAATGATTTTGTTATGTCCTAACCTTTCTTTTTTCTTGAGGATATCCTCAATAGTAAGTAGTTATATAGTAAAATTAATTGAGGCCTCAAAAGTTTTAATGATGTTGGGAGAGAGAGAGGGAGAGAGAGAGAGAGAGAGAGAGATTTGTAATAGTTTTCTATTGAGTATGGCTAATTTGTAGCACTTTGATGGTGGTGTCAAACATTTGTTGGTATGTCTTGGTCTACGTCCACTTTTGATCCTTCTTCAGAACTTTGGTAAGTAGTACAACAATATGTGATAAGCTTCGAATGAATTTATAGTAATAATTCACAAGTCTTAGAAATGATCTTCGTTCCAGCACCTCCTTTGGCCACTGGTTGATCATGATCACCTTCTTCCAATTCATCCTCACTTGGCCTTATCTACCACATGGCTTAAGAATTCAACCTCTAGAATTACAAAGGTATATTTTACTAGGGTCAAGTATAATTGATGATCCTGCAATGTCTCTAATGCTTATTGCAAATGTAACAAGCATTCTTGCAGAGTGCTAACTATATATTAAAATGTTGCCCAAATATAAATGATAAACTTGTTCAAAAAAATTCAAAAAATATAATTCATGAGGACACAAAAAGTGACATGGACATTTGTTAATCTAGAAGACATAATAGTGAATTCATACAACCCATAATGTGTTATACATGTTGTCTTTTAGTAATCTCCCTCTTTAATTTAGATTTAATAGTAGCTGCTCTTCAAGTTTAACTTTGAGAATATTTGATTGCCAAAACTTGAGTACAATAATTATATTGATTTAAAAATTATTGCTGAATCACACCTAATGTCCAATTGTAAAATCTGACATCAATTATTGTGTCTTACTTCAACCATAAAATTTTTAACCATCAAAATATTAAAAATTTCTTACACACTGAATTCAAAGTAGAGAATGAGAAATAGTGACTGTGAGAACCAATTATTAGGGTTTCCATACTTGCATTCACACCATCAACTTGCCCATGTACGTTGCCCATTTGATCCACCCATCTATAGTAACAATTATTGTACTTAAGTTATGGCAATCAAAAATGAAGCAAAAGGAAATAAAAGCTTGCCAAATAACAAACATTTTACAACCAGACCTTCATCCAATCAAAAACTTGCTTGCTAGCTCAAGTAAATGTTGGACTCAAGAATGTCCTATCGAGATAACAATCGGCATTTGACACATGAAATGAAGAGAGTAAAAAGTCAAAATTTATTATTAATATTTATTTTTTTCCACATTATAAGCTATTAACTCAGTGGGAGGAAATAGAGAAATGACCTGTAGTATCGGGGCATTTATGAATGATTAATTCATTTTTGGAAAAAAAATGACATGGTGAGATCATGCTTATTTTATTTAATAATAAGACATGGTAAACAATTGCATATTGACTGATCTTTGCTCAATTTGAATCTGAAGTATCTTATGTTGAGACAGATGAAGAATGACAAAACATAATGAGAATGGGTTGAAATCATACTTGAATCTATAAAGATGCAAATATGATGATGGCCTTTTGGATCAACACGAGGGAGTCATCCAATCACTTATTCTAAAGAGATGGGATGCTCTAAAAGTGACTCATGATGTGTGACCCAAGGACCATGACCCTCTATTTATAGATAAGAGGTGGTTAGCCTCTTGGTGTTTTTTTCAATTTAGCCCATCATAAAATTAGAATAAGACATGATATCTACACATATTTGTATTCATGCCCATACTTATGAGAGAGGTCATACTCCTAAATACTTAAACTCTAATGAATTACTTTAAGTGAGATTAATTCAATGATAGTCCCATAATATATAACTTATATATATCATTGTCCACATTGAGATTAATTTCAACATCTGTCACATGACTTCTCTACTCTTCGTTTCCACCATTAGTGTGATCATTGGATCATCCTCTAAAGCTTTGACCTATGATGCTACTTTGATCATCGAATATGAGCAGGCTGCCTACTCCGGAGTCGACACCATCTAGATCTACGCCCTCTCCTATGGTGGCGGCATTGTCTTGGTGAGTCATCTGGACTAGAAACTTGAAATTAACCGATTTGGTGCGTAATCCCCCAGCTATTTCGATCTAATCTGCTTTGTCTGATTCGCCTTCAATTTCGATACGATATGCTTCTGATTGGGGGAGATAATTGGGAGTACCTCAACTTCCCGCGTAGTTTTCTAATGATGATGATGGAATTTCTTGTTCCTGGCGTAGGGAGACTGCGGGAGGTGCGACATGATCATTGGTGATGGCTGCCCGGCCCTCTTCACCACCCAGGCTTCTACCAAGGTTTCCCCGGCTCCATGCCCCTTCTCTCTCTCTCTCTCTCTCTCTCCATTTCAAACTTTCGATTGCTGGTGTCTGGTAGTCCGGTTACAGCATTCATTCGTTTCTGAAGTATGGATGATTGAGGGATCGGACATTGAAACCCTGCAGTTTTCAATTGCCAGAACTTCGGAGGATGATCTCTCTCTCTCTCTCTCTCTCCATTTGAGATTTCGATTGCCAGTGTCTGCTAGTCCGATCATAGAATTCATTCGTTTCTAAAGTGTGGATGGTTGAGAGATCGAACATCAAATCCCTGCAGTTTTTAATTTCTCTCATCTCCCTCAGAAATATCCTCCTCTTCCGATAGGAACAAGCTACAGAATCTAAGAACTGGAGAGAGCAGAATAATCATGGCTTCAATTCAGATAGAGCAGTCCCTTCTCCGGATCGAGACCACGAACAACCTCAGAACTGGAGATACGAGATTGATCATTGTCTGAAGACAGATATAACAGCGAGAGAACCTCATTTTGACAAGTTTCTTCAGATTTCACAATCTTCATATTTCATTATTATTATTCTTATCATTATTGTTTTTCCTCTGCGGTTTGATTCTGGACAGTGGGAGCCATAAAATTCATCCATCAGATTTTACTATTTTCGTCTGAAAAGCAGTGCTCCTTCTCATTCTTCAGGTGTACAAATCTACAGGATCTGAATGTTCAGTACAGGTATTCAATTTTTTTCTGACTTTGATGAAATTTTTGCAATAATTGCTCGACGTCGGTCGATTCGACCATTCGAATGAAATTCTTTGGTGGCGTGCTGCAGTAGGCTTGTATCAGGGAGGATCTCTTCTGGCGGTTGTTCCTCATCCGGTGACCTGCTTCTCCACAGCAAGGTATTCCCAGAGCCAGGTGTTCAGGATCAGCTCCGACTCCAATCTCCTTGTCGTTGACTGGTTCACAAGTGGGCGGCGTGAGAGCGGCGAGTGGTGGGACTTTGGGCCCTACAAGAGCACCAATAATATATTTCTTGAAGGAAACTAGCCCCTGTTTCTTGATTCGGTAATGCCCCTCTTCAACCACACCCTCAACTCCACAGAAACTTTTTTCTAATTCTTTTTTTTTTTTTAATCGTATAAGAACACAATCTAGGCGAGCTGTCATTTGCATGAAATTAGGCAGATTTGGAGCCAGTAATATATAAAGTTGATGAGAGCTAGTGGGGGTGCATGCATGTTATATTCGTTGTTTGACTTTTTTTGTTGTTGATGGAGGTGTTTGCTCTGCAATTTATATGCAAACTGAGAGACTTAAACTAGATGGCTCTAAGTGGCGCTGAAGGAGATGACTCTGAAATCTTGTTAAAAGAGGTCTGCAGTGTCTCCTGCTGCTGGAAGTCAACCCTATGCCCGGTTCTAGAAGGTCAAAATAGCACCGACTCACCACTCCCTAGAAAAGCCGTGTACCGTATGTTGATAAAACCTCGCAAGTTCTTATCAGTGAGTATGTCAGAAGTATCCATGACGTGTTCTGGTTGCAGGTGCTCCTACAGCAGGGAGGAGGCACATCAGGCATCGCCGAGCGTATGCAGGGCTACCAAGTCATTGCCATGGTCGTACTGATACGTAGGCTACCAAGTCATCGGCTACCACTTCATTTCTATATTCAGCGTGAAAGACGATGTGAAATCCGGAAAAATAAATTATTACATAAAAAGTAAAATAAATTATTACATAAAAAGAAAATAAATTTTAGGCTCTCATACCCTATCATTAGGCATGATACGGTAGGCTCTCATTTTATAATCATGTTTTTGAGATAAATGAAGAGAAATAAAATAAAATAAAATAAAAAAATAAAAAAAAAATAAAAATACAGAAAAATGGGGGACCCGCCGGCCAGCCGGGCCCGCAAGGAGTGGTCGTGCACACGTGAGGGGAATAACCCCCGCCGCATTATCCTCCCTCGCCCTCCTGCTTCTCTCTTCTTCGTACAGACGACTTCGTCCATCTGTTCCGGATCTCTCGTAGATCCGGCGGGACCGTCCAGATCCGGGAGACTCGCTCCGCCGAGTTCCGGTTTTACCGCGTAGCCCGTGCTTCAGCTACGCGTTTGAGAAGCCCGCCTCCCTCCGCGTGGGTCTCACGTGGTCTCTCCCAGTTCAACCCGGTCGAGAGGTTCCGGGGGTCTCACAGAAGAGTCATGGGGGTTTTGTGCCGGACCCAGATCAGCCCGGAATCAGTAGGGCTGAAGAGATGGCTCCCAAGGTCTAATCTCCGCCTCCCCCACTGCCGTCGTCATCCTCTTCGGCCACCCGCTCCCCAACTGGAAGAGACGGAGTAACAGAGAGGCCGTCGGTGAATGGCGTCGACCTTCCCGTTGAGACCCAACATGTGCTCCGTCAGAGCCCCAAGCCCCGCTGCCGTGTCGCGCCGCCTCTCTCACCTCCTCCCGCGGCGGCGCGGGGCAGCGAGCTTCCGCTGCTCCGCCGCCCCGTCCCGGCGGAGTTACAGCGTCACGCTCATCCCCGGAGACGGCATCGGCCCGGAGGTCGTCTCGGTCGCAAGAGACGTGTTGTTTCTCGTCGGTTCTCACGAAGGCGAGGCCCTTCCCCTCAAACTAACTGTTCCTTCTTTACTCGTTCCATCGTCGTGGTCGCCATTCTCATCACCTCTCTGATTCCTTGTGTTGTTGCCATTTCTGCCAAAAATTGTGCTTTTTCCAACGACGGGAAACTGATCTAGGGATCGAGTTCAGATTCCAAGAGGTGCCAATGGGCGGCACGGCTCTGGACGCGGTCGGAGTTCCGCTCCCGGAGGAGACCCTCTCCACCGCAAAGGATTCAGACGCAGTCCTCCTCGGCGCCATTGGAGGGTCAGTGTGGATTGCCTGTCTGCCTTTTTCTTTTATGTGCTGCCTGCAGCAGGATCAATGAGAAGACTCGGGTCTAACCTCCTTTACTGGCCTCCGAGAGACCCACTCTAATGTACCCAATCTCGGGTTTTCCTTGAGGACTTGATTTCGTTTCTTGCTCATTATTCTCCTCTGGTCCCATCGAAACACTGGGGAATCTCCAGGTACAAATGGGATTCGAATGAGAAAAGTTTGAAGCCTGAGACGGGGTTGCTTCAGCTCCGGGCGGGACTTGGAGTCTTCGCCAATCTGAGACCAGCTTCTGTCTTTCCCCAGGTAATCTCTATCTCTAACGCCATTACACTTCAATTCACCAGAAAATGTTCTTTCATGGACGTCCTCAATTGGGCGTGATTTTTTCTTCTACCCGCTCGAAATAGCCTCAGACTAAATCATAACGTCAACATCTTCTTCCTGTAGGCTTCTGTCCATGAGTTAATGGCCACTCAGTTTGAATTGCATAATGTCTGTGATCGTCACATTAACTTTACGTTTAGTGATCATATATTCTAGAAGGGTCAAACAAAAGGGGGAGCTTAGTTCAAAAGTCAAATAGAAGTGCAAAATAGGCTAGGAAAAGTTTGGTAATATAGAACTAAAGAACTCTGGTGAATGGAATGGGTGTGCCAATAACAGTGAAATGGTAGTTCTCTAGTGTACTTTGCACTTAATTTTATCATCATCGCCCTCATTGTTCTTTTTCTGATTGGATTCCATGGGCATGCAATGTACAATCCAAGGATTTGAGAAGGTGGTTACTAATTTGGAAAATTCAACATTAAAAGGCCTACCTGATCAGTTTATATAATACATGAAGAGCAAACGGATCAACCTTAATTTCTGGACTGTTGTTCTTCCGCTTTTTTTAAATAGAAGTGAACTTGATGAAATCCTTCGCTATTAAAGAAGAAATTATTTGGGATATGTTTTTAGAGCAGTTGAAGAACGTGCGAAACTTCGTTAAAGAGTTTGCTCTTGGTAGCTTGAAAGTAACTACTTCCAGCTACCAGTTATGTTGTTCATGAGACCCTAGTTCTGTCCAGGTAAAGAAATTATTTTTCTTCTTGGGCTAACCCTATTTCTTTCTATTAATGGACATTTTCATTGGTTTTTATTTTTCTCATGGTCCTATGTTACGATGAAAAGGACCTTAGTTTTCCTAAGACATCTGGATGATTATTTTTTTAATGATTTTTCTTTGCTGTATTCTGAAGAAGGCATCCATTGACATTCTGGGTTTCAATGCTTCATGTAGCTAGTTGACTCTTCCACACTAAAGAGAGAGGTTGCTGAGGGAGTTGACATCATGGTTGTACGAGAGCTCACTGGAGGTGTTCACAGTGCTGGCTTCATTCTGACCGATATACTCTACAAAGAAATCTCTTTTTTTATCAGTCTCTCACTTATTTACGACAGGAATCTATTTTGGGAAGCCAAGGGGCTTCGGGACCAATGAAAGTGGTGAAGAGATCGGTTTTAATACCGAGGTGTATTCTGCATCTGAGGTACTGACGGATTCTTCCTCCTCCCCTTGGTTTTGAAAAATGACAACTTTGTACCCATCTGGGGCATTGATTTGCAACTTTGATTGATGACTGATGTGTAAACATAAAAAAATAATGATGGCCAATGACTCGTTCCCCAACATAAAAAAAAGACTCTTTCAGCGGTCTTAATGATTCAAAGCAACGGTTGTGACAGTTCTCTAGGATCCCTCTGGTGGTTACAGGTCGTACAGAGCGAGGTGAGCTTTAGAAGAAAGACTAGAAAAAGGAAAAGGAGAAGATATGATGGCCACTTCATGCCCCAGAAATGATGAAATCTTCATCCTCGGAGAGGAGAAGACAGTTTCATGGTAGAGAAAATTTCATACTATCTGTCACAATGGCATAGAATATTTAATTCACTTTGGTCCAATCAAGTTCTCTACTCCACTCTTAGGCCCAATAGGGTATGTACTCCACCTAGCTTGAAGGATTTAATATGTGAGAAACCATTCTATCACCAGGCACTCCCCAGTTTAGGCACTAAGATTGGATTGGACCTAACCGACTGCATTTTTTTTTACTGCATTGCGTTCTTCCTTTTGAACAAGTGGACCCAAATGGCGCCTTTCATATTCTCCCTATTTTTCTGCGTGATGCTCTAGTGTAAACTGTTGCATGAGACTCTAACTCTCGGTAAAAAAATAAAAAAGTAGAAAGGATTGATGCTAATAATGTAATTTATTTCGAATTCTCTCAGAACAGAAGAGCAGTCCTTCTGCAGTTATAATTCTAACGAATTATAACTTTCATATATTTCGTATTAGTAGTGCTGCTAGTTTTCATGGATATAATCTTGTGATCCAGTGTGCACTGACTTCAGTTTGGTATTTGTTTGATGGCTGAACAGGTTGATCGAATCGCGCGTATTGCTTTTGAAACTGCCCGAAAACGGGGTGGGAAGCTTTGTTCTGTTGACAAAGCTAACGTATTGGAGGTACATCTCCTGGAACAGAGTGTTCGTTCAAAAGAAGCCATGCCCCCTCCTCCTTCAATGGCCCATAGTAATCGATCGGAGAGAATATTGCGAAAAAGAGAAATAAAAGGCTTCTAAATAAGAAAATTAAGAGAGATATATGACTTTGGCCAGTTTATCAAATTAATATTGGAATCATTGGACAATTAGCTAAATATCCGTTGAGAATTTAACGTTGAGACTGTTGGGTAAAACTATCGAGATTTGTGTACTAAAAATGCATTAAGTGGACAAGTGTTTTTAACGTAGCTAATATTCACAGGCATTAAGTGGTGAGATAGACTTAACACTGATTATGTACAGTGGGGATGATCTAAATTTAAGCTATGAACTTAATTTGATTTGTTCAAAGTATGAAAGAATTTAAGAAAGGAAAAATTATGTCACAATAGCCAGGCGACTAGATATTGACAGAATTAATTTGTTGAGAATAAAATGGATACATATTCGTACTGAACACGTAAGGTTTAGATTGAATGGGGGTACATTTATGTAGTCTACTGATGGGGCCTCAATTGCTTTCTTCAGGCATCTATCCTTTGGCGAAGAAGGGTGACAATGATGGCATCAGAATTCCCAGACGTGGAACTTTCCCACATGTACGTGGATAATGCTTCTATGCAACTCGTTCGGAACCCTAAACAGGTCTCAACCCGGTACCCTGCTTCCTTTTTCAGTTATTTTGAAAAGATCCTACAACTTTTTTATGGTGTCTTCTGGAATATAGCTATTGTCTGATGTCAAAGCTGAAAATTGTGGCAGTTTGATACAATCGTGACGAACAACATCTTTGGTGATATTTTATCTGATGAAGCTTCCATGATCACTGGGAGCATCGGGATGCTGCCATCTGCCAGCCTGGGTTACTCGGTAATCACAGAGAATACCCCCCCACCGCCCCAAATAATAATAATCATAAGAAAATAATAATAATAATAATAATAATTATAATCGCTCAATGCATGACGCTTTAGAGAAATTTGTGTAGGGGCCTGGTCTCTTCGAACCCATCCATGGCTCCGCTCCTGACATTGCTGGACAGGTTGTGTGCCCTCTTTGTAATTTCATCTCTTCAAAAGCTTGAATTGAATATCCTGCTTCAACATATACTCTTCTTTAAAGTTTAAGATTATAAAGCTGGGAGTCATATATTGATCCATCTCTTTTTCTCTCTACCTTCTGTGATTGAAAATTTTCAGGACAAAGCAAACCCATTGGCAACAGTTCTTAGTGCAGCCATGCTATTGAGATATGGCCTGGGAGAGGAAATTGCAGCCAAAAGGATCGAGAACGCAGTGCTAGAGACTTTGGATAGAGGGTATCGAACTGGGGACATTTTCTCCACTGGATCGGTGAGCCTTTTATGAAAAGTTTAGTCAGATCGAATTCCTTTCTCCCATCTGGTTGGCCTTAGTTTTCTCTCTGGGATAATAACCTTTAGTTGTAAATATTGTCCAAGATTTCACAAATTGTTTCCTCTTTTAGATATTAATAACTTCTCTCCTCTGTCAGGACCTTGGTAGCTGTAACTCTTTATAAACTGTTTTTTACAATCATTTCAGTCAACCAATTAGTCTTAATTTTCTATGGGGGGACAACAGCTTTATAAATATGACCCATGGTTTCATGCATGTTTTGCTTGTTCTCTTTCCTTGGAAAGTAATGTCTTCTCTCTCTAGATCTTGGTTAGCTGTAACCCTTTTATAAACCCTTCTACGATAATATCGAGATAGAATTACACACTCATAAATTGAGTCCAGATTTCACACGTTTTTGCTTTATTTTCTTTCCTTAGCCGTTAATCAGTCTTCTCTGCTCTCTAGACCTTGGTAGGGTGCAAGAGGATGGGCGAAGAGGTGTTGAAGTCGGTCAACTCCCAGAAGCCGGTCGCTGCCATATGAGCCAATAGCGTGAGAGATGCTTACTGCTGCTGTAAACTAGTGTTCAATTTGGTTGCTGTTGTTATCTGAGGCTTCCATCCGATTAGGATTTTGAGCGACAAGAGGTCCAAAATTGAGTGAGTATCAAACTAGGAAGATCATCATGAATTGTGTTGTGGTAAAAAAGGGTCGTTTCAAAGTTGAACTTCTTGTCCCACTTGGTGCTATTTTAGTGCGATCAAATGATCTTTTTCCTAAATTCGTAGCAAATAAATAAAATAAGTTAGCAAAGTTATTGTTTGTATGTCATTTTTTCTTTGTTTTCCTACCAGAAAGCCGGTGGAGAGATGCTGAAATAATTACTGTAGATCAAGATTCTTAATGTTTGAGTCATGATGTGATCACCATTAGTTGCAGTTACATGACATTATGTCTGTCTAGCATTCAAAAGATGAGTAGGGTTTTTGTTGTTGAAGATAAGAGGTGTTCATGCATATGTAAGAACTACACAATAAAGATACCATCTTGGCAACATATAATGAAATATTGGATCAGATCATTTCTTGACTTGAGTGATGCTTTCTCTTCCTCAAGGGCCCTAGAAATCGTGGAAGAAAAAAGAAAAGAAGCGGGAACTTGAAAGAACATGCTGGTAACTTAACATCTGGTATTAAATTCTAAAAATAAATCATTTCTTTGTACATATGCATATATATATAAAAAATAAAATCTTCCTGCCTAGTATCAAATAGGACTAAAAGGAAAGACATCAACTCTATAAATTATTTATAGAATTGAAAGGCAGTCACTATCAGCCATCTCAACATCCGCCAGGAACATGAACTCTTCAATGATAATGGGGCCATATCATGGACAGAGACTAACGAAAAAAAGGCTAAAAAAGTGATTATAATACCAGAATAATAACCATAATACTGATTTTCTTGGTGCAACAACCCAATTCTGCAGACATGCTCGTTAAAATATTTTTTCAATGACTACTCTGCAGGATGATTACTGGCACTGGTTTTCAACAAAAAAAGCTATAAAGTAATAACGAAACCTCTTAAGGAAAGTTGGGACACTTTGGTGATGATCAACCTATGACGTGACTATCAGTGCAGGTTTTTCATCGATTTCTCCATCAGAAACTTGAGATACTCTGTTACTGATCACTTGTTTGAGTGATTAGTGGCGTAGGTTTTAAAAATCAAAATTCCGATGGATACAATGAATGTCTCGTCAAGAAAGTTGAGATGCTCTGGAGTTAACGGTCACTCTATAGCACAGTTAACCGGAGCATGCTTCAGAACAGGTTCATAGGGTTATTATAATCAATATCCGTTCACGACGATTGGGACACTTTGTGAATGATCACTAGGCAGCAGGACTATTGGTTCAGGTGGGAAATAAGAATCACATGGATACAATCAGTATCTAAAACGAAAAACGAATCAACTACAGGAGGACTGAAATTTCTCTCATCCTGTTAATTTTTTTTTTGCACTAAATCATATCTGCGCTGAATTTGTTTTGCCCCCAGAGGGACCATATGTTGATAAAACCTGATCAAGTTCTTATCAGTGAGTAATTATGATTGCATGCAGGAGACTCAAAAGTATCCATTAAGGTCGGCTCCTAGAACAAGGAGGAGGCACATCAAGCATCGCCGAGCGTATGCAGGCCTACCAAGTCATTGCCATGGTCGTACTGATAGGGTAGGCTCTCGTTAAGCATGATCTTTGATGAAAATCTAAATCCTTTTTATAATTTTTTTTTTTGGAAGGCTGAGAGGAAAAATAAAATAAAAAGGGGTATAAATCTCTTTTGTGCTTGGATTTCTTCATCTGAGGCTTTTTGGTGAGGGAATTCAGGCCCAAGTTGAGACACATCCAAGGCCAACTCCAAGAGGACATGAAGAAACTGATGTCCAGATGCATCCGCAAATCAAGTCACGCTGGAGGACCTTACTCAAACCCACGAGCCAAATATGTCCCAGAGAAACCTCCATTGATTGCTTCTTGCAGCTCCTTTGTCCCCAAGGTCAGCCTACTGCCCCTTCTGGACGGGTTTGAATGAAAATATCTCGGCGCCACCGTTTTAATTTTCCTTCGTGGGTGGATGAAAGTCTGGGGTCTCCTCCTTTTTCCATTCCATGTGCATGGTTTGTATGACCACGCGGCAGAGCCATGCAAGACTGAACTAGTAATGGAATGATATATGGATGATAAATCTACAGCTTGGACTTTTGACCCTACTCAGATTATTTGTCAGCTGATTTTGAGGTCAATGCCCCCCAGTTTCCGGTTCTTTCATTCAAGCTCTTGCTTGTAGACTTTTTTCTTTCGTTTTATTTTCGTCTTGATGTCGTTGGCCTTTTCTCGGTTGTGGGCAGGTGGTGCGTGTTGTGGTTCGGAAAGCGGCGCTTACGACGGATTCGGTCTACGAGTTTCTCCGACTTCATCTGGCCGACATGGAGCCTCTTCTTGGTGCGCCCATTTATGGGTGATTTCATCGGATTTTCCTCCACAAGAAATCAAGATTCAAAGCCCAGGTAAGGTTTGGAAGCAGTCCACTACTTTTGGGCAGCGTTAACTTCAACCTCTGCTGGAGAAATCAGCTGCCAGGTGCACATCGCTATTCTGGGAATCTTCCTCCCAAAGAAACTCAGCATTTTCAGTAAAAGGGCTCACGGTACACTTCTTAACTTCCTTTACAGCTGGAAAGAATTCTACCGACGCTGTTTGTTATCTCTTAAAATATATTTGAGGCAAGTTCTAGGATCCAAGCTGCTTAGAAAAAAATCACCTGCTCCGTATTGATCATCATTGACTTCTATCTCCGTGCTTTGATAAGACGGCTAGCAGTAAGATTCCACTTTCAGCTCTCATTACGGGTCCACATTATCCCCACTAAGCTGCGTTTCTCATTTCCCCACCAACACTGAGACACCGATTCACTGGATTTTGGTGGCATGGAGTTGACTTCGACGAGCAAGTCAAGCTTGCTTCCTCTGTAGGCACCCTTCTACAGGAAAGTGTAAGGACAAGCGGGCATGAAATCGTCACTCTAAATAACTTTGATTTTTTAAAAAATAAGCCCAAATAGTCAACGACGGTACAAAAAGGATCAGGAGTGCATGTATTGTAGGACAATCATCCTGGGATCTTCTGCCTGTGACCTAGATGAAGAAATAAGCTAAAAAGAAAACAAAATTGAATCAAAACGAAAATCTAATTCGCAATCACCATCTGTCGATTCGTTTGTCTGTCACCGGAAAACAGAGTACCGGAAAATCAAGGCGAAATCATCTCAAAAGTGGTAAAAAAAAGAAACTAATGCCTTATCCCATTGTCTCTGTCACCTGGAGTGAAATTGGCTCCAAGGACTTATACTCAAAACTTCTCATTTTTATCATCCAGAAAGCTTCGTACCTCTTCCCTTGAACTTTCTTCCAAATTTCATGCAATAATATCTCAACAACCATTGTGAAATCCGGATTTATCTCTGATCGTTTTACTGGCCAAAAATAGAGCATGAAAGATGATGTGTACATGAATGATGTGGCATGGTTGTTGACGTGGCATAAAAATACTGACTTCTAATGATTTAGGGTTTAGGATTTTTTTTTTTGGTTTTAAGCAAACCATGACTCATTTTGTTTTTGTACACGAGTGATGTGGCATGGTTATTTCTAATTGACTCATTTTTTTTTTGTTGATGTGGCATGGTTGAGTGTTCTATTCAATTTGGGGGGGGCATATGTCTCCACACCTTCTAGAGCTAGATTATGGTATCAGGATTGGCCTTGTGGTTTTCCACCTTATCATTTCACTGTTCTCCTTTTTTCCTTGTGGGCTGGGGCTTGGGAAGTGCTTTGGTTTCCTTTCCTCCACAACCATTCCATTTGTGAGACATTCTTTATTCCCTCTTCTTTTGTTTGTAATTGTCCATCTCACTGTTAACTAAACTACTTTTTATTAGTAGGTGAAGGTCTAAGTGAGGTGGGTAGCCTTTTCCTCACATACTTACCCCTTCTATTCCTTGCCTCTCATTCTTCCTATTGTGGTTTTTTTTTCTTTTTTTCTAGAGGTTTTGGGGCAAGGGGAGGGAGAGGGGTGATGTTCACTTGTCGTTGTGTTTAAATGCCTTTTATCTAATAATATTTATAACTAAAACTTAATAAGGTATTAATATAGATAAAAATCTCATTAAGAGATTGATTAATACATCATCAAAATTAATTTAGTTTATATATAGAGTGATTTTAATATTTTATCACTATTTAATAAAAATAATAAAATAAAAAGGTGAGGTGAGAAGAATAAAGAAAGGGAAGTGAAAAGGTGAAGGAGAGAGAGAGAGAAATAAGATAATAATAAAGAGAGAGAAATACAGTCAACTCATTTTAACAATGACCATGGTTCTCAGACAAATGTGTGCTTAAGAATTCACACACGACATGAGTTTAGTTGTGAATATCTCTATATTTTAATAGATCAATGCTCATTAATCAACATTTAATCTCATTGATTTCATATTCAGAAATAAAAAAATATTTATCATTCATGACACACCATGATTATGAATACTTCAAGTTTTGACTATGGAAATCAATGAAAAATAAGTTGGACATGATCTTAGCTTGATCTGAGATGAGTTTCAAATGATTTTTTTTAAAAAAAAGATCATTCATTAGGATTTGAATTAGTTATACTCATTTCAATTGAAACATATATGAAATGAAAATATAAATAAATATTAAAAGTATGTAAATAAATGACAAAAGTAGGAAAAAAATTATTACCTCAATTTAGTCTACCTCTTAGACAATTGGATACACTAGTGTAGAGACTTGGTTTTGTTTGGATGTGTCACACCACCCTAAAAGTTGTAAAAGTATCATTCAAAAATACTATGTCGCTTGTGGGAGAGATCCACCAAAAAGAGGGGTTAACCATATTGTCATCATTATTTGGAGGAAGAAGAGAAGAGTTGACTACTTGCTAGAGACCTTGAGTGTAGTTGTGGGAGGAAGGAATGGCCTTGTTGATTGTCGGAGGTGTTGATTGCAAAGAAGGAGAAAAAAACAGACTCCGTATTTGTGACTACCATTGGGTTTTTAAAGATAATTGATAATATCTATTTTACCAAACAATAATTAATTATTATCTTTATATTTGTAATGGCGATACGTGCAGTAACTTAAGTTCCTACTATCATCACATTTCATGTGCCAATAGATCAGATGTATTTAGTTGTATGACACATTGAGCGACAAAAGATTAACTCAACATGAACCACTACTGATTAGAAACTTAAGTGCTTGATACTATGGTGCTTCACTAATTGTCAAATCATCATTTCTAGTTACATATATGCTGAATGATATTAGTTCATAAATCATCAACATAATTCTTCACATTTCAAGTATCGTGATGATTCACCAGTTGTGGAATCTACTTTATTAATAACATGACTCACTAAGTGCCACGGGATCACACTGTCCTTGATTATTATCTTGAACACACAATAAAATTTAGTCCCACATCAGAAGTATTTGAGGAATTGAGTTGAATATATATCAAAATTACATCTTGTAAACAAAGATCTCTTCTCTTGAATAGAACAATGCCTAGGACCATCTTGGGAGAAGATAATAAATAGTCTGCCCTCATGTGCACACGTGTGTAGACACTCTTTGCTCCATGACCGTTTGGCCATCAAGATGTGGCAAGGGAGTGATGCACACGTGTGTGAAGCAAGTCCTTTGCTACTCGTGACTTCCCCAATTTAGGTCCACCCACTCAAGCGCAGCACCGACCCAGGTCAATTGTTGAGTGTCAACTTGCTAGTGGGTAGTGATATTTTTATATTTTATTATTATATTTTGCTAAAATAAAAAATTATGCTCTCTTTAAAATTCAAACTTCTTAATTTAATAATATATTATTATAATTATTCTACAAGTTAATATACAAAAATAAAACAATAAAACTAGCTAAAAAATAAAATTCTAGCTTTAATAGGGGAGATTATTGACTTTTGGTACTTTCACTCAACTACCCTAGACTTTCCTCCTCTCCTTTTTTTCTTGCAGATGTTGGGTCATAGCTCCAAACAATTAGATGCTGTAAATGGATCGAGGGTCTCACCATACTAGCCTAGTCACTTTGGATAGGTCACCTATGCCCATCTCCTTTGCCCCATATCTAGCAGGCTTGGGGAATTACGTTGGAGAATGGATGTAGAGGAACATTCACAATTGCCAAATCCATCTCCTCCTCTTGAGCATCTTCATTCATCCTTGATGCACAGAATTGACTAAAGATTCTCTTGTATGCTACGCTTTCCATACATTATTTCCCCTGATGTTGGGGAAGCAACATTTATCTAGGTTGTATAGGCCTCTTGCTTCCCATGGGAGCTCGATGGTAGTGAATAGGCCATCATTTTGTTGCATGGCAAATTTTCTTCCTTGAATTGGTGATGAATCCTATAGACAACATGAAGTGTAGTATGGATGCCACAATTTAGATACCACCATTTATATAATTTTCATATTCTGCATACCTTTGAAGTGTAGTATGGATGCAAGGGTTAGGGAATTCGTTTCAATTTCCATACTAGATAATTGGTAATTTAAGCACATGGCCAATCCATCAGCCAAGGCCCTACATTCTACCTCCAAAGAGCCGAGCCCATATTAATGTGCCCGGAAACTCAAGCCAATCTGTATATGGATGAGGTGGTTTGTTCTTTTGCACTTGATAGTAATTTTTAGCTTACATCCACACAAAAAAGTTAAAGGATAAAACAGTAGATAAGTTTAAAATTAATTTTAAGATAATAAAATATTAAAAAATATTAAACTAGATTAAACATTAACAAATCTTTGACGCCAAATTGTTGTCACTGTCAATGTCACCAAGAAGAAGAAAATAATCATTTTTTGCCCTAAATTGAATATTTTGGCCATAATCGGAAATCATAATGGGCTATTAGTAGTCAAGTTGCTTAAAAATTGAGTGATTTCGAGTGAGAATCATCACTTTTTCTCATTTCTCTCTCCTCAAACCCTTCTAGTTTAATTAAATAAATCTACTCAATAGACTTTCATTAGAAATGACCAAGAGTTTATTTGCAAGACATTGCAGGGTAAATCTTCAGATAGTGTATTTGAATATTGAAATAAGGATTCTAGAACATCAAGCAACAAACACAATAAAAAAAAAAACTTAAAACTGAAAATAGAAATTCATTAGGAGTACCTTTCTTCAACTGCAACAACAAGATCCTTAGTCAATACGACCCCACAATCTAAAAGATTGAATAATCATCACTGAATCCAAGCTAATGAACTTTAGTATGTCCCAATGTCTAGTAATTTCAAGTACGACACATCAAGTGAAATAAATAAATAAATACTTCTAAAAATGCCATAAGGGGGCAAAAGGTGTGGCTCAAAAGAAAAATGACAAGTGCATCTTCATCTTGAGATTAGGCTATGTAAGAGATTTCTCCACTAGGACTATGAGTGACAAGATGTTTTTTACTCAATAGAAACAAAGTTATATCTAGTGCACTTACTAGTTCTATGCTATCAAAGAGTAGGATCATCTTTTAGTTCGCACAAAATTGTTGCAGATCAACATGATTATAAGAATTCTGATGACATCAAGGACATTGTTGACATCATTACTGAACAATTCACCATCTATCTAGAAAAGAAAATTTGTTAGAATAATAAAATTTGTTAGACACATCATAAGGATTAAGATGATTTTGAATTTCTAAATTTAATCTTTTGAACAACATCTTGAGAGATGACATTCAAACCACTACCATTATCTACAATGACCTTATTGTAATGTGGACTTATCTTGACATAGTAGAAAAAGATGGAAGTCCTCTAAGGGTCCTTATGAGAAGGTTTTACAAGGATCTTTCTCATGACTTGGATAAATTTTCTAGACTCTTCTTGCTCATCTAATTTAGGGTCAACCCTATATTCCTCTTCTTCAACTTGCTCGTCATGGTCTCCTTTTTGTGAGACTTTGATTTCTTCTAAAGGGAGGTGCCTAGATGGACATCTAGATGTGATGTGGCCAAATTTTCCACATTTGGAACATACTTCACGATTAGGGTTTTGCTTGTATACTTTTACTACTACTTTTCCTTTATTGTTTATCGGGGGACTAGCTCTAGGGAAGGTTGACCTAGGGACCATTTGTCCATTATCATTCCTACGATTTATATAACTAAGAAAAGTTGTCCTATGAGAGAACCTAAAATTTCCTAGAGGAGATGGTGAGGATTTAGGGTTTGATTTGAAAAATATATCTAGATCAATGAATGCCCTATATGTTTCTTTCAATGTCCTCACATCTCTAAAGGTGATTTCTCTCATAATTTCATTCCTTATTTCAATTATAAATCTAGAGAGGGTGAGAGTAGGATCCTCTTGAAAGCCACATGTCATCGTCAATTCATCAAATTCAGTGACATATTATAGAGCAGTCCTATTGCCTTGTTGAATCATTTGCTATTGATCAACTAATTTGAATTGATAGTTGGGAGGAATATATTTTTCTCTTAATTTAACCTTAATTTCCTCCCATGTTCTTATGGATTACTAGAATCTACCACTCAAAATAATCATCTCATACCACCATATTGTCGTTGGGTTATCTTCTTTCTTTTAAAAAAAGTACTAGAGTTTTTCATTCCCCATTTGTAGAGAAGAAATCCAAGAATGGTGGAAACACCACTCTTTTCAAGAACATTTTTCATTTTTAAAACGACGGTATCCTCTTCTTAACATAAAGATTCCATATTTTCTTTTTTTCTATTTTTTTTCTATTTTTTTTTCTATTTTTTTTTCTAGAACAGAGGCAAAGTAGGTGTTTATAGGCTATTAAATATCCATTTCTCATACTATAAAATCGCCTTGAATACAAAAGTATACACCATTATCATAAGTGCGACTTAATCAAATTCGCCGTCCTATGTTACTTCACGTACTGCGGCGAGCGGGGAACGAAGTTTAAGGTATGCATGGAAATGTTCATTATAGCTTGAGGCTGGTTACAAGTCCCAAAGCTGAATACTGTCAGAAAATATTAACTGCTTGGAAATTTGATGGATTAATCTCCTTTTCCCGAGGGGAGGCGCGGTTTGAGTGGGTCGGGACAAGTTACAAATCGCCATATCAACAAGCGGGAGCCGTCCCGCTACCGCCAGTGCAGTTCGCATGGGGCAGTCTCTTCTCCTTCCTGTCGTTGCCCCCGCCAAACTAGGGGCAGGAGAAACTGGGGTGCGGTTAGGGCTGCACCTCTACTTCTGCCCGAGATCTCGTCAGCTAGGCCTTTGCTTTGGCTTCGCCAGGAACTTTTCACATTCTGGGTAATCGCCGTCATTATGTCGGTTGCGCTCTCTCTCTATCTTCCCCCCCTTCCCGGTCCATTTGCGTTTCCCAGTTGCCCCATTCTTTCTTTGAAAATCCTTGGCCCAACTTCTATTCGTTTGAGTCTGATGACATCTGCTTTGCTGCTTGTCTAACGCCGTGTTCTTCAAGTTCTAATGGTGCAGATGTATCTGTCCTCGTAATAACATATGTTTACGCACTTGCAGGGATACTCTATCTGAATTGCTTGATAGAAAGTGGATGCGGTCCGATCCTGGTGCCATAATCAACCAAATTTCACTTAGGAATGGGCATCCAGGAGAAGGGTTGTCTCACACTTCCTTTTCCAACGATTTGTGTCCGCGTCCACTCTCGGATAATAAGTTCAAGGATCTCTCTTTTTATGTTGTCCGGGATGACTTGTTACACCCAGTACTGAATGGGAACAAAGCGAGAAAGCTTGATGCCGTCATGCCCATATTGCAAGAAAATTCTGTCACTGATGTGGTGAGATTACCGATTCACTGTTTTCTGCTCTTTCTGTACGACGCTCGTATATCTATTGCGAAATTCTGTCGTAAGATGTTTTCAATGACATGGCAGTCAGATGCAATTTTCAACCATGGAATCAATGGTTGTCACTCTGACGCAACTATCTCTGATACCATTCCGCATCAGAATTCAAAACTATTCTCTTTTCCCATCCTAGAGCCTCCGACGATTACAATAATTTATAGCCACGTTATGGTACTAGGCTAGAAGTTGAGCATCTGGGCCCTGCAGTAACAATTAAGGTTGCTATGCCTGCTTTAATCTGCCTTTCCACATAAATGAAACCCTTGACGGTGGGTATATAATGGACAAGAATCAGCAAGAAAATTGGCAGCTTGTGTTCTCGAGAATCTTCCTGCGTTACCAAACTTTCCATTTAACAAATCATGTGAATCTCACAGGTCACCTGTGGTGGATGTCAAAGTGCTCATGCAGCTGCTGTCGGTATGAGTTTGTTTCATTGATATTAATATTCATTTTTCTACATTTAGATTAGGTTGTTTTTATCAACTTTTTTTGTAGATAAGAATGCAAATTATTCAGACTACTGTCGTATTTCATATAGCTGTTGCTTGTTCGGAGAGAGGAATTAGGCCACATTTACTTTTAAGGGGAGAACAGCCTGAAATCTCAACTGGCTACAATTTGATATCCATGTTGTATGGTGATATCACCTATATCCCAAGATCAGAGTATGCAAAGAGAGATGAGATGCTTAGCATGCACGCTAGTCTGGTGGGAGGTCAAGATGGTTCTGTCATTTGGTTGAATGATCTTTTCAAAAAATCGATTGATGATTATGACTCTGCTGCAAGATTTTTGGAAGCAAAAGAATCAACATATACTTTTTCAAAAGTTGGACAAGATTTAAGAAAAGTTGTGGTTATCAGTGAAGGATCGGGAGATGTTGTGGGATTGTTAGGTGAGATTGGAAATCCGGCATCTTCTATCTTTTTTGTGCCTTTCTGGTTGCATAAGCTACTCAAAAAATAACTACAGCTTCTGCATGTTTTGAGAAGATTTCTCCTTTTTAAGGCAATTATGTGAGCCTGGTTTACTTTTCTTCGCTTATATCAATTTTTGGAATATTGTCTTCTTGATATCTACTGCTCTTCACCTTACTTTCCCTCTTGTAGGTTTTGATCAAGCTCATTTGTCATGTCAAATTATTTTTGAAGTTATTATTTTTTAAATACTAAAACTTTAAAGTATGTGTGCATGATTGTTTTATATTAGGCATGCCGCATATGTTATTATACTTGCTCGTATAATGTTGTACATGTTATAGGAGGACAAGGATGAAGTTTTCTAGACAGTGGGCACTTGGTTGCACGCGTGAAATTTTTTGATGATTCCATTGTCACTTTTTTCATCATGTTGAGATATTTTTCAGCTCCGTTATTTTGGCATAATGCATGGGTATGTGTGTAACCCCCCCCCCCCATGTGTGTGTTTTATTTTTAAATGTTTACCTTATCCATGGCGACTCTTCATTCCTATGACCATTTCCGAAGGACTGCTGTTTTGAAGACACTTTCTGAACATTAGCTGTAAGATTTCAGATTTTCAAGGCAGTGGCTCTTGTGTATTGTCACACTAGTCTCTCTAGACTATACCCTTTTATTTTCGGTTCTCTTGAATAAACTTTCACCTTTTTACTGTTGCCTTCTGATTCCCCGAACTGTTGGCTCTTTTGTCCTATTGTGTTTGAAAATTATATTGACACAGCTATCATTGACCAGGCCTATCCCTAATGCCAAATAGTGTCCTTGCTTGACTTCAGTAATTGTCTTTTTCATTACTCACTATTTTTTCTAGATACTCTCAGTTATTGTTTACCACTCGTTCATTTGCTGCATCTAATGTCCGTACATTGCGAATTCCTTCTTTTTGAGTTAATCTGAACAGTTATTCCAGAATTAACACGATCAGAGTGCATGTTGCTTACTTCTTTTTGTAGGCTTCCTGGGAGTTTTACCACAATGTTGAAATGGATGACCGTTTACATTTTGGTACCAGGGATTGTTTAAAGATAACTGCTTTAAGTTTCACAGTTCTGAGATGTCTATGTCCATCTGTTTTTCATCTTGTGCTTTCATTGACTTCTTTTGATTGTATTTGGAGTTTTTTTCTTATACATGGTGATTTCGAAGCTTCATGATGGAGCATCTTTTCATGTCCTCACTTTAGACTCAAAAATAAAATTTCTTATGTAGTGCCATTTTCCTTGTCAAAGACCGTCAATCCTTAGGAGTGAAATTTCTGTTACAGGTGTCATACGACTGGTGAAATGTCTTTCTGAGAACTATGTAATTGGAAAAGAAGAAAAAGTTACCATTGTTTTAGATGCTGGTACAGGAACAACAGCTGTGGGTCTAGCGATTGGAGCCGTATGTCTAGGGTATTTTCATGTGCTGGATATTTGCTTGAAATCTTTTCATGTTGGAGATGTGTTTTTCTTCATGTTACGTGGGCACAATGTAACATTGTTTAATGATTTATGCAGTTTTGATAATTTGTGCTGCAATGCTGACAGGTTACCTTGGAAAGTAGTTGCAGTGATGCTTGCAGAGACCATTGAAGGTTACAAAAGAAGGGAGAAGGTCTTGATTAGTGATTTCAAAAGGATTTGTGAACCAAAATATCAGGCATCTGCATTAAATGGCTTAGATGATGGCATGGTTCAGTGGGTTGATCGTATCTATCCAAGAAGGTAGTTACTGTTTTTTTTTTCGTTTTTTTCTCTTTATCTCAGATGTTCAATAATTGACTACGTGAATATTTTCTTGTTCTCACTGTAATGTAGTATTCATTCGTTTTTTTTAAGCATACCAATAGAGGTCACACACAGTTTAGCTCCGTATATTCTATACGAGAATGGATCCAAAATTGCAATCAATAAAGTTGGGAAAAGAGTTTGATAAAAGTTATATCTGGATATCTCCAGTTGACGAAAATAATGTTTGAACTAAAAGGTATCTGTAGTTAATCTTTTTTTATAAATTGAAAGAGAATGACATGCTGATTGTCTTAGAATTTTGGACGTCAGTGATCATATTAATGATTGCTTAATTTCTAAAGTCTGAATCCTTCTGTTTGAAGTTGTATTGCTTAACAATCCCTCCGCCACATTTTGGTTTTAGATAGAGCAACTTATATTGTGGTTTTTGTCAATTCATTGGGACTTGCAAACCCAGACTGGTTTTCACTAATTCATTTAAAACTCCTAGCGGTGCTAGACATTTCCTCCCCTGTCCTGTCTTTTGTTCAGCCACACTGCCCTGATTGGGTTGAAGGTAAATTGGGGCGTGAAGTTTATTCTGAAAACTCATTGTGTTCTTTTCTTATCTAGATATGATAATACATCAAAATTTTAAAATAAATGTCATAGGATCTGCAGCGACAGGCTGTAGAATGCCAGGTGATGTTAGAATAGCAGGCTGATTGAGTGCCATTGGCACTAATGGTCGACTTATTATTATTATCTCAGATTCGGTTATATAGTTGAAGTCCTTATCAGTAATTGAATACTCACTATAGGTTGATGGCGCTTAGTTAATAATAAGGAAAAGTAAATGCTACTAGTGTCACCTAAAACGGCCTTAGAAGTATCTCAAAGGGTGCACAATAATCGTCCTCTCGCCTTACGACCACAACCCCACCCCCCCCCCCACCCCCCCCCCGCCTCCCTTCCTGCCTCATCGGCATCAAAAGAGTGCATGAAAGAGAGGTTCCTGAAATAAAAATTATCTACTCTAATTTTGTTTAGAACATTATTCATTATGTGAGTTGCGTGAGTTGGACTGAGTTCATCCAATCCTGCTTGGTTTTTGACTTTTCTGAGCTGGAAAAGAAAGCCTGGCATAAATTGTTCCTAAAACACAGATTAAAAATGTACATGCCTTAAATTGAGTTGGCTCGGAAATTCATTTGCCGCAGAGAGAAGATCTACCTATCTTTCAGATGCAATTTGGGGGATTGTAACTCATGCATCATTTCGGGATCTTGAGTCTCAGTTTGTGGTTGGGTGTATGGTTTTGGCAATCCATGATTGCATGTTTAAGAATGCTCTTCTAATTCAGTCTTTTTATTTTTTGTACATTTATTTTTGTATGTTACTTTCGAACTTAATGATTCTTATTTTTTTAGTCTGCTTTGAATGAGAATGATTTCCAGGTTCGGCCGTGTTAAAAAAGGAGAAGCTGAGATGTGCAGACATATTGCCAGACAAACTGGCATTCTTTTGGATCCTATCTACACTTTGGCAGCTTGGGAGCATGCTGTGTGTCTTTGCCGACCGGAAGCAGAGGATAGGTCTAATGTGATTATGCTCCACACTGGAGGGACACTAAACATGTTTGGACTGGCCCAAAGATACAAACCCCACTTTCAAGTTTGATGGCATCGTAGATTGATTTCAGGTTGAGTTGCTAAGTTGTGGCAAATAAAAATCTGAGGTTCATGGAAATCACATTTACCATCTTCCAGGAGTTGATGGATTCTGCTTTCACTACATCTCTACATGCAAAAGAGAGATGACATCGGTTCTTATACTTACAGCAAGATGCTCTTTTTTGTCATGAAATTTGTTAGGCCAAAATGGAAATGTAAATGAGGCAATGAGATTCAATCGATTCTAAATCAAAATTAATTCTTTAATATTGAATAGATATACATTGGCATTTGTGGGGATCCACCCCGAGTAATTGTGGGCGACGTCCCCATTGATCTTTGGCTTCGTGCACAGCATCCTGCCGTCTACCTGGCCCTCTATTGCCAAATGCATGCGGGTGCAACGCTAGGTCACCGCACGCATGTAACGGGGTGAGTAGCTGTTGGCAATTCTGTCTGTGGCTGCCCCTGCTGAAGTGCAGTCAAACGCCGTCACAGCTTGCACCACGATCACTCGATGGCTGGAGCGCTCTCTTATCTCCCACTGGTCAATACCCTCTATAGTTGGAACGTCACAATCTCACGACACAGACGACGTGACTCTGGCTCTCCCCTCCTACTAGATGGGTGAGTGGCAGCTGGTCATGATGCCCTGTGCATCCCCAGTACGTCCTGCACGAGTCAGACGCCCTGAGGCGTCGTGTGCTCTACAGATGCGGTGGAATCAGTTCAATTTCAGGCCTCGGGTGCTCCTGGCCTTTCTTAGGGTGGGGCGTGGCATGGCGTACTGGTTGATGAACCAACTTCATGGTGCGGTGAATTCCATGGATCACAAATAAAGGTGAACATGATATGACACGTGACATGTGGAGGATCCCAATCAGCGACGTTGGCCACCCGTGGTGCCAATTTGTTTATTTCAGTTCCATCTGAACATGGCATTGAACATAAACGACCTGTTCATCTCAGTTACATCTGACGGCATTTTCACATGTGGTGCAAAACGGCTACTCAAGAGGCCCTTTTATGTCCATGTATTGTATTTATGGGGATTAGCCCTTTTAGTTAGATACTTGTGGGGGACACCTGATTTGACTTTTGAACACACAGAGAATCTTATTTCATGATTGGCCGTCTGTTAAACACCCTCCTCATCTAGCCTTGTTATACTCCTCCAGGCTACTGTTGTATGTGGACACAATGCCGTGTGAATAATGGTCAGCACACTGTGTTTCTGGCTACTCCTACTTGAGAGCAGCCGACCACTACTGCCACTTATTTTGTTTGTCCCCCAATAGCCAGAGCCGCTCTGTGGCTTAGAAATAGGCCTCCAAAGACTCTATAAAGGTGATAACATAATGATCCATTCCTTCGAATGAATAATCATTTGCCCATGCATGTGACTTTCACCAGCCATCCCAACTTAGCAATCTGCATAAATATAAAAATAGTTACAAGATATGTATTCCTCACTCTTTTAGAACAATACACCACCTAGAGAACCTCTCTCCTTTGTCTAAGCTCACACCTTTTACAAGGGGTTGTCTAAGCCTCATAACCGTCCTTCTAACTCCATGGGTGCTTATGGAATGGTGTTGGTTACGTCGACAGTTGGTGTAACATCAACATAACAGCCCTCACTCAAGATGAGGTGACACTCTTATTCTCACTTATTACTGATTATGATGTTGAGTGACTTCGCATGTGGGCACATGTTTTATAATTCTGTTATGCAATTCTGATGTATACAGTGTCAAAGTTGTTATGTGTCATTTTTTGTTACTGTTGTCCCACATTGTGCCAATGTGGGCTCTATGTGCATACATCCTGTGCTATCATTGTACACTATGTCTAGATACATGTGTCCTTTGTGTCATGTTGTGCCGCGTTGTGTAATATTCACTTTTGTAGATGCCACATATTTTGCATCATGCCAACATGTATCTCAGGTGCTGATACGCATGTTTGCAAGTGGTCGTGTGTTGTGTTGTGTCAATGCGCACCTTTGTACATGTTATACCTTGTCCTATCATGCGGATGTATAGATGCCTATGTGTGATCACACAACACATGTATAGGCCCATGCCACCTAAAGCTGTACTGCATTGTTCAATACCACTCATGGCATCCTATGCCATGTTGTGTCAACATTGCACTACTTTGTACTAGCAGCTTTTAGGGTTCATAAGATGTTCCCTTGAACCTCTTTATCTATTAACATAATTGTTTGCTCAAGCTGCATTTATGTATGCTCCACTTTTGACGCAGTGAAATTTGAGGAGGGAATGACTTGAACAAGTTGTAATCAACTTTGATGTTGTGGGGGTCGAAGACACATCTTGAATCCTTAAAAAACGTGCTCCAATTGTTGTCCTTTTGCTCTGAATCCACATGTTGAAGAGGATAGGTCCCTTGAGTCCACAAGAGGGTGATTCTGAATCCACAGAATCAAGAATTGGGCTCCCTAAGTCCATAGGGGTGCTAGAGTTCACCAGTAGTAAAAGAGAACTTCAAGAGAAGAAACTCACGAGATTGTATTAAAAAAAAGGTAATTTGCCTCTAGGCTATAGGGGGTGCCTTAAAATAGGTTAAAGAATCTTGATTTGGGTGCCAAGATTTGAATTTCAAATGAAATCTAAATTTGAAATCAAATTTTGACTGAAATTTAAATTTTTGATGAAATTTAGATTTCAAATAAAAATTTGAATTTCAAATGAAATTCAAAAAATAATAAAAATAGATATATGGGCTTAATTTCATAATTGGGCCAGTTAAGTAAAGTGGGCTTCAAGCTGCAACAATAATGGGCTTCAAGGTGCATCAAGTAAAGTGGGCTTTAAGTTGCAACAGTAATGGGCTTCAAGGTGCATCAATACTAGGCTTCAAGCTTCTTCAATAAAGAGCTTCAGGGTTTGGGCTGCATCAGTCTCCCCTTCTTGAAAAGGACTCATCTTGGAGTTTGTAATTTGCTTTGGATAATACTCATAGATATCTATAACATTGAATGTAGATGATATTCCCATTGTCTCTAGTAAGTTAATGACATATGCATTGTCATCAATCAATCTTTTGAAGGACTTTAAATAGACCATACTTTTGTGAACTGAATTTGTGATAATTTTTTGATGACAATCGTTCTTTTCTCAAGTATATCATAACCAAATTACCAACTTCAAAGATTTTCTTTCTTTTTTTGTCTACCTTTTCCTTATAGTTTGCATAATTGGTTGTAAGATATTTCTTCACATTCTCATGTATTGTTTGGATGTATTCTGCCATGTTATTACTACTACACTAGTACCAAGTTTTCTTGGTACTTCAATCAAGTCAAGATGGACTTTTGCTAGAAAATAGTAGACAATAAAAAATGAAGAGTAACTTGAAGACCAGTTTACCATAGAATTATATGCAAATTTGGCTTGAGCTAGGACAAGATCTCATTGTCTTAGTTTGTCTCCTAAAATACAACGGATTAAATTACCAAGTGTCTTGTTAACCACTTCTATTTGACTATTAGTTTGTGGATGACTTGTAGTACTGAATTTTAGGTATGAGTCAAATCTGTTCCAAAAAGTACACCAGAAATGAGACAAAAATTTTGAGTCTCTATTAGATGTAATAGTCTTAGGCACTCCATGCAAACAAATTATTTTCTTGAAAAGTAAATTTTCTACTAGAACAACATCAATAGTCTTTTTACATGAAATAAAATGTGCCATCTTTGAGAATTTATCCACAACCACAAAAATAGAATATGCTTCTCTTTGGGTACATGGTAGTCCCAAAAAAAAATCCATAGAAATGTCAATCTATGCTTTATTTGGAATGGGTAGTGGAGTGTACAAACCTGTGTTTTGGCACTGTCCTTTATTAGCTTGACAAATTTGACATCTTCATACAAAACTTTCAACTTCTATTTTAAGCTGTGGCCAATAATATCATTCTTCCATCATTTTCAAAGTGTTGTCACAGCCTAAATGCCCCCCAAGTCGTCCTACATGTAGTTCTCGAATTAACTTCTCACACAAAGAAGTTCAAGGGATACATAATTGATTTTCTCAAACTATGTAATCGTCAAGAATGTGAAATCCTTTAGATGGTTTGCCTTGTTTACACATATACCATATTTCAGCAAAATCTTCATCTTCTGCATAGAGTACTATCAAATATTCAAAACCATTAACTTCTCCTCTCATTGTAATAAAAAATGTTGATTTTCGGCTCAATGCATCAACCACTTTGTTTGATTTTTCTGATTTGTGCTTTATCACAAAAGAAAACTTTTGAATAAATGAAATCCATCTAGAATGTATTCTATTGATAGTGGTCTGACTATTGACTAATTTCAAAGCTTGATGGTCAGTAAATAAAATAAATTCTCGTTGAATCAAGTAGTGTTCTCAAGTATGTAATGATCTAACCACAATATAAAATTCTAACTCATATGTAATTTACTTTCTTCTAGCTTTTGTTAACTTCTCATTATAAAAAGTTACTAGACGATCTTCTTGGGATAATACAAGTTTAATTTTAATAATTGAGACATCACATTCCACTTCAAATAATTTATCAAAATTTGCCAATGTTAGTATAGGGGCATAACTTATTATTATTTTTAATTAGAATAAAACTTCTATATGTTACATCTGTCCACTGAAAGTTTTATCTTTTCATGCACTTAGTGATGGGAGCCATAATTGAACTGAAATCTCAAATAAATCTTCTATAAAAAGATGCTAAGCTATGAAAACTAAGAATATATGTATATTCTTTGGAATTGGCCAGTCTTTAATAGCTTCAATATTTTCTTCATCCACTTTGATGTCATCTGCACTTACAGTATATCTCAGAAAAACTAAACTTGAAGTAAGAAATTTACATTTATTCAAGTTGATAAATAACTCATTTTGTTGTAAAATAGTCAATACAGATCTAAAATAATGATGGTGTTCTTCTTTTGTGAATTGTATATCAAAATATCTCAAAATAGACAACAACAATTTTTCT